TTCTAAGCGGATTATCATTTTCTTTTTATCCTTTACTACTTCTTCGCTAGCAATGAATGAAGTGAATCGATTTTTAGCTACGTTAAGGCAATAGACAGTCGGCTGAAGTGTGTCGGTTCGAATAAACCGGATATCGTCCGGTGTCGTTCTTGCCGTTGAGTGATAGTGTTGCGAACATTTCCGTTCTGTGTGTTAGTATAATGTCACTTTGGCATGCTTAATCAAGCTACGCTACCAGCAACAATACATAACGTCGCCGCTAATCGTGACCGGTTCGTCGTCCGCCTGAAGAACTCGATGCAAGGCCTCTCTAGGACCCTCTTCGGCCACCTACGCGAGCCGCTCCCGTCCGATATCATAAGCGTCGTGTCTTTCGACCGTTCTTGCTATTGTTTACCGAAAGAGTAGAAGCTCAGTGTGGTGCATATTCGCCATGAGCAAATTGCCCTTCTTCACTAATAGTTAGCACTTTTCCAACGCCTTGTAGAACATTTTAATACTTTCGTTTCCAGGCAACATATTTCTCGGGCTCTCTCCGGCCATCTATGCGAGCCGCACCCGTCCGAAATCATAAGCGTCTTGTCTTTCGACCGTTCTTGCTAGTGTTTACCGATAGAGTACAAGCTCAGTGCAGTGCATGTTCGCCACAAACAAACTGTGCTTCTTCACTAATAATTAGCTGTTTCCCAATGCGCTTTAAGTTTTCTGATGCTTTCATTTCAATCAAGAAAATCTTCAAGCTCAGTATTGTGCACTTTGAAAGATATCACACTAATGTTTAAAGAAATCATCTAGCTGAGATAGTAAATTAAATATTTGAAACAACCATCTATTTTTTGCCAAGTATCGCAACCGATTTCTATTCCTTTTTTACGATTCATTCTCTTCCTTCTTGCAGATTTCTTTCTTTTTTTTGTCGCTTAAGAAGTAAGTAGGTGGTAGAGTGGAAATCTTGTAAACAATCCGAAACCAACCGAAAAAACGATGTTTTTCAAAGCTGACCTAAAATTTATAAAAACTTCTATAGGAATCGTTTTTTTTCTACTTCTTTTCTCGTCAGTAGTGATGACTGGTAAATTGATCCACTTAATCAGTAGCGATTCAAGGCTAGAAAATGCCTGGCAGAATCCTTTTGTCTCTGGTTGTTCTGGATGAGTTCGCACACCTATGAGATTTCAGAGCAATTTGAGCATTAAGAAAATTTTAGTGTATTCATATACGATCGACTGGACTAGAATGCCTATAATTTCGAGTACTTGTTATTCCAACTGAACGCTGGTAGCGCAGTAGCTGGTAGTGATGCTCTTCAATACAATGCACCCAAGGTCTTATCTAGAATAAGAACAGGTCAATCATTTGAATGTAAGAAGTGCTGAGATTTTCGCAATATGAGACATCGGGTCGCGCAAAACAAGTAAATAGTACGCCACATTTTGGGCTGCTTATCCCAGGCCTAACTAGCTCAGTTGGTATCCAAACAGTTTTCTGTGTTTTTCTATATTTTCTTTGCATATTGCTTCCTCATTTTATATATTCTATACATAACGCATTCGTTATGACTCTTTATGAATTTCATATTGTCTCGTTCTTTCTGTTCACTATTTCTGTTGACGACATTTCACTTAAACTGAGCGATTTATACTGCTACTTGTGCTCTTGCATTTCTTCAGTACCAAGAAGATAGAATTTATTCAAATTCCCGAATCGTTTGACTAGCCGGATTTCACGGATTGTGACGGTCCCAGCACAATTTTCACTTGGTACTCTGTTGGTTTCATAGGTTTCTTTGAAATCTTCCAAGATAGTCGCTACGCATCTTTCCTTACTCCTAGCCATGCGTAACCCTCTGACGATTTTCTCCACGATAACTGCGGCGAATTCTGACAAAGATTAGCTAAAATTCCAGATGCAATTGGATCCCGTTGATGGCATAAACCTTATTCTGTTGTAACTTTTGATTTTATGGCCAAGAACATTCCATTCCTACAGGGTTTATCATTCGTTTTTTGGATCAATGATTTATTGAGAGTAAAAGCTCTTCAATAACTTTCAATTTGGCGCCATGTGAAAACGAAGTCGCAAAGCTTTAGTAAATCAAATTTTTTTTAACAGCTCGATGTCAAAGAAGTGCAGCGTATTGGTGGACATTAACTGAAATATTTCTACCTGCTAATCTCAACGCGACTGCTTAATTCCGAAGAATCCATCACTTTTCAGAACTATTACAAGCATTCTTGATTGCTAAGTTAACACGAGGTTGATAACGAGGTTTGTTCGGCTAACGTCCCGACGTCTTCGTCTCCCTCGGAGCGGTGATCCGAGTCGATGGTCCACAGTTGTTCGTCTTCTCGATCTAGTGTCTTCGCCTTCCTATCGAGGCGGATCTTCCTCAGTGGAGCACCGCTCGAATGAGGCATTCTCACCCGGCGATGCTCTTTTTACACAAGGCACTGGTTGTTGATAATAGCGATTATCTGATAATGACAACTTTTTTTCTGGACATTCCTTTCTGCAGAAGTCTGTATCATCACAGAGAACCACAGAGAACACAGAACAACAGAGCTACCACAGAGAACAACAATATCTCAAAACCGACATTCCTTCAACCTTGGTGTGACTAATCTATAAACAAACTCTAAACTATTCTTGGTATATTTTGTTCATTCCTGAACGTATACTAATATTATAAGTAATGCCACAGTGATGCTGAGATATCTGCAAAACTCCAGACAGCAAGCGGCTGCGGCGGGAATAGAACACGCTCTTACCATTTCCAAGGGCTAACGGGTTCATCACCACACCATGCTGTTCTCCGTGTTATAAATATAATTTCAATGCCAATGGTATACGATAGAGAGTGTAGCGCAGTAATTAGAGGTGAGCTGCAATACACACGTGGTCACTGATTCGGTTCCGCACCTGGACTCATCAAGGCTTTCATCCCTCATCGTTACCAGACTTGTTTGAGGGGATTGCAGCACCGAGTTGTTCCATAGTAGGTCACAGTCAGTCGTATAACCCAGATACGTATCCAATAATGAAGGCGAATGCATGTCGCCTCCCACAGAGATTGGTCAACGCCGAAACCTTTGTGCTTTATCCTTAGTATTTAGTCCTTAATCCTTACTCCACAACAGTATAGCATTAAAAATAGTAGATTTTCTTTGTCTGAAATTTTGTCATGAATTTTGTTTTGGACCCATTTTCGAGTATGCACATGTGTAAACTAAGTCTACATGTGATTATGTGTGGATATATATATATATATATATATATATATATATACGTATATATATCATCGTGCATGTGTATATCAACGTGGTGCGAGTGTGGTGTGCGAACGATGCTGTTTTTTACAGTCTTGAAGCGGTCCGTATTTAGATAATCTACACTTAGCCGCACCTCTTCTAAAGCACTTTTTACATAGCCCAGCCAGTTTTCGTAATGGAGAACTCAATGAACTTACTTCTTTACTGTTCTACACGCGATATTGGGTTTTTTTTTTACTTCTTAACGCTTCTTATATTCATATTAAGACCGAAACTTGCTAAAAATTCCGCCTAGGGCACGAGTGAGCCGAATCTTTCCTAAAACATTGAACGACTCGTGGATTTTTTTCTATGCGATATATGATCCAGAAACATACGAAACAAAAAGTGATTGCTAGAGAAGGAATCCACTCTTGTCAATGTAAAGCATAGAATGTGACCAATTTCCTTCCACTGCTACTTAAACGCTTCATCTCACTTTTTTGGAACTTTATTCTAAAAAATGGCCTCCCTACATTTTTACTTTGCTGTTATCATCTTATCTAATAGTTTTTAAAGGAAAAGGAAAGTCACTTTTATTGGTAGTACGGCAATCTTTTTGAACTAGTTATTGTGTGACTTTCAATGTTACGAGTACAATGTTACGAGTAGAAGTCTTTTGTTCAAAAAAAACGATATCATTTTAAAATAGTGTTTTCTATAGACCTCATGGCTTGACCAAAGTGCTAACAAAGTAACGATAGTGAACAGGGGTGAGTAGCGCATTGGTAATGGTACTGTTCATCACCAACGCGGTCCTGGTTCGACCCTTCTCCAGGTTTACCCATCATGCCATCCCTGCAGCGTGGGGAAATTAGCACTAAACTTATCCGGGAACTGTCCATTCCTTAAAATTCATTCAAATAGTCCCATCACTCCAGTGAGAATTGACTTGACCAGCATTTAACGACGTTCGTAAAAAAAACGACAATGCGCAAGAAGCAGCCCAACTCATGGGCGCCAAAAGTTCGATGACCCTATTGGATGATGGATCCTAAGAAACGAATCGAATGCAAAAAATCCAATGTCGTGTGAAATCAAATAATAGAGGACTGAGCAAGGTTTCAGTAGGATCATGCTACAGCAATGATTTATGGGTATAGCCCTTTGCTAAGCTGATAAATTTAACACATTCATAGATTTTCAATATCTTTTCGTCTAGATACATCGATAGCTTAGCTTAACGAGTTCTAGAAGTTTCAATACAGGTTACACATGAGCGGATTTTATTTTGTTCGCGAAGCAATATTTCTTTCTTGGAGCGTTCGGAATCTCGTAAGAAAGGCGTTTCTCTGTAGTCACCACAAGCCTTCTCCGTATTTTGTGGGTCGGTGAGAGATTCACGACTTTGCGATTAGATTTCTTTCTGGACTCTTATAATATTGGCATTGGTTTACTCTTAGCTGACTTTGCAAATTGAAATCTTTTTCCCGTTCTCAACTTACGTTATTCTCTTATGTGAGTATGAGGTTCTTACTTTACGTGGTAGTTTAATGCCACGGGACGTATCCTCGCTATTATAGGGTGACGAACTGCTCAGTGGAATATTGGTATGAGAACAGCTTTTTTTGGAGTGCTCTAAACATAAAAGTTAATTTTTCCCTTCTCGTTTTCAGTATGTTTTGTTATCGATCGTGATTCTTGGCAAAACTTCAGGGACCTTATCTGGCTGAACTTTTTTATATTCCAGAAATGCAGCCTCGATGGCTGCTGTTCTCGTCAGTAATAACGTTGGTGTTGGCCGAAGAAGAAACATGGCTGTCTGCTGTAAGTGCAATACTATTTGGACCAACACAGGTTCATATACGAGTTTTCTTTTTTGAAGATTTCGTACCTTTTTTTGCTTTCAGTATTATACTAAGTGCTCGCGGTGTTTTCTCAACCATCAGCTCAGAAGTGGCTCAGTAGGTAATGAAGGATTAAGTGACGAAAGGCAACGACGCAGATTTAACAAACCAACTTCTTCTGAGATCTGAAAGCTCTTTTTTCGATAAAAAGTCACTAAATCGATCGATTTTTTAATTTGGAAATCTAAAAAGAAGTATTTTTCGTCATTACTCCAATATTATGTACGAGTTACAAACCTCTTTTTTGCCACTTTTGTACCCGTATTCCTTAAATATCTTGTCATTTTTGTAATAAAACAGGCAAAATCTCTTTTTTTAAGCTGCTACCAATTTCCTACCAGAGTTCGGTTACAGAACAACATTGCTATGAACACATCTGATCTACAAATGCATCCATATCCATCAGTTACTGGTTATCAGGCAGCTTTTCATCACGAGTACCCAGGTTTGTGATGTGTTGTAGCTGAATACTCTTTTGCCACTCAATGAACTGCTGAAGAAAGCAATGACGCTTTTCTGGTGTTTTCTGAAGACTTCTTGAAAGAATGGAAAAAGTGTTTAATTACTTAACGCGTTTCGACATTAATGCAAAGGTTACGGTTTCTGGAAATTTTTCTGCTTATCCAAAGCAATGAGAAGATTTGGTATGCATTGGTGAGAAATGCTGCTAGTAGAAATCTACTTCGGAAAACGTCGAGAGATGTGAAGTTGATCCACAAGATTCACAGTTCCTATTGCTACCGGGGAAACTTTATCCTTTGAATCAATAAATTTTTATTATAAAATCATGGGAGCGAAAACATTCAGACATTGAGGATATTGTTGATTCGATTGGCATCCTGGTCGAACAAATCCGATCCGAAGCCCAAATGCTTATAGTAAAAGTAGTTATGCATCTATAAAAATGTTACCCAGCACTATGATTTTGTTTTATCTTTGCAATGTACATGGCATATTCTTGTAAAGTAAGGATTAAGTGACGTAGTCAACGGAACAATTTTTGGCTGCACTTCCCGTGCTTTACATAAATTCGATGAACTGCCTTTATTAAGCTGACTCGCGGTTCTCATCACATGTTCTTGAAATGCAATGGCTAACGTTTCGGCGACCTCGCCGACTCCATAGTCTAGCCGTATTTTATGTAACTCTATTCATACATGTTTACTTTTTATTCTCTATATACTACATTTTTTACGGTAGGTCATTATGCGAAGTTCAACCACCATGATGCTGAGATATCTGCGAAACTCCTGACCGCAAGTGTCTGCGATGGGAAACAAACGCGCTATTATCCTTTCCGTGGGCTAACGCGCTCACCACCACACCATGTGGGTCCCTCGTTTCGCCTGTCTCTCAGCTAGCTCTATCGACACCTGCGGCTAGGAGTTTTGCAAATATTTCGGCATCATCTTGGTTGTATTTCGCATGATACCCTGCCATGGAAAATTATAGTAAGCAGTAAGTAAAAAGATTAAGATTGTGATTTCACCTGCCCCTTCAGCTCAACTGGGTTCAATGTTCCCCAAATAGATCCCGATGACGGGTGATTACTGATGGCACTGATTTGCAGAGCTAGCTGAAAGACAGGCGAAATGAAGGACCCGCATGGTGTGGTGGTGAACGCGTTATCCACCGGAAAAGGTAATAGCGCGTTCGTTTCCCACTGCAGACACCCACGGTCAAGAGTTTTGCAAATATCTCAGCATCGTTGTGGTTCCATTCATATAGCTCAATGAATTCCCTTTAGCATCAATGAATCATGATGCTCAAGTGAACCATGATATGTTAAAAAGTGCTCATCGTTTCCGTTTTTTAAGATGTGGAACCAAGTGTATCCTGTGCAATACATTTTGTATAGCCATCGCCTAGTAAATCAGTAATTAGAAAGTTGAACTGAAGCATCAATATTGGCCTTTAGCGTCTACTTTATCTCAGGAATGTCAACGAAAAGTTATTCAGTTAATCTACCTAGAAGACCGATTCTTTTAAACTGCCGTTGTTCGTCGATAGTGTTTTCCTTCCGAGCAATCCACCACTTGTGGTACGATCTTAAGAGTACCCGGACCGGTCGCCATCACCACACCCTCTTCACCTGAGAATGGAAGCTCACCCTTGACTTCGCACATGATGACTATTGTTTTGCAATTTTGTCAACAAAGACTTGAAGAAGAATTGTTCTGTCTAGGGAAAAATTGTATATAAAGGAATTTCAATGTGTGAAAGATGTTGTAAGAGTAAAAATACAATAGACATTTGAAATGCAAAAAGTTAATAGCAGTGAAATATCAGCCTTTATTACCCACAGAATTTTTAAGTAGAATAAGAATATTAATTATTATTGATGAGGACCAAACGCAGGGGACGCCTGTGGCGCAGTGGTCCGTGGTGCCCTGCAACACACATGTAATCGATCTTCGCGCCCACGGCCCACCATCCATCTCTCTGGGGTCGGCAAATTGGTACCAGACTTCTTTGGGAGAATAGCAGCACTGGCTCGATACATCGATAGACGACTGCGAGTCATTGTAAAAGGCCAGATATGCACTCAATCACTTCCAACGATACCCAATGAAGTCGAATGCAAAGCAGCTCTTGATGTCATCGCGGCGCAATTTGTCGTTGAGAGCTTAAGATGAGTGTATTAGCCTTTTCGACTAAATGGTTCGTTCTTTCCAGTTAAGCAAATGCAAGAGTGAAGGAGAAAAATCGCGGAATACTTATCAGTGAGGGTGGTAGGTGCTTGGCACCATCAGCTCCTTTCTCATCCACTCGACAACAACCAGCGATTTCTTCGCACTTCTTCCGGCTGTGTGGTACTTAAGAGCAGCGTAAAAACAATGATCAGCCCTCACAAAGTGAACGGAATGGGGAACAGTGACCTGTTGTAGGATTGGAAAAGAACTAGAGTGTTGGCTTTGGAATGATATAGAGTGGAATAGAATTAATCGGGATGAGATTAGACGGGAGTGTATAACATCCGACGGCATCAGATGATATATAATTGTGAATGAATGGATAAGATGGTGTGGGATGCGCTGTCTTGCACAACCGAATACCACCTACCTGCTTATTTGAACACTTTTATTGTCTGCTTTCATAAACCATAAAAGAATTATTCATGTCCTACCACACTTTCTACTGGATTGGTAGCCTTCTGCTTGACCAAGATTTTGTCTTCCTGAAACCTTAGACGCTCTACTTGGGCTTTCCAATGCCGTAGCTACCTTCTAGCCAGAGACTATGTTGTTGGCAGTATGACAGTGATTCCTGACAAATGTTTACCTCTAGCTTGTCTTTAAGAAGGAAACATGATACTTCTTGGCTTGAGTAGAGCTAGTATTAGAGGAAACCTATGCGTCATTGTCCATCGCAGTTTGACGCCAAAGAACATTGTCGCTACGACACGGTGGTAAACCATTGAAAGACGTCCTCTATATAAATTTTTATTTCAACTTATCGAGTATAATTGCATTTGATAGAAACGACATGTCTGGTCTTGTTTGTAAGTACTTAAAAAAAGCATTACCAAGGGAATAGCATATAAGCATAAGAACATGGCAAAATAGATGTGAGCTGCCACCATGTGCTGCGTGGTGATAGCGCTTAGTTACTACATCATATAAGGCGAGAATATAAAATTAGTGTGGCGGTATAACTACGTGGGTGACAGATGCTGTGAATATTGTTGTCCTATACGATGTTGTTATTCAAAATTGCTCATCGAGCCTTCAATTCCTTCGACATCTACCAAACTTCGCTGCGAGGGTAGCCTCACTGATTTGATACATGCGTAGGTTACCACAAATCATTGTATGGGCCAAAATACATTTAAGCATCTCTGACGACGCTTAAAGAAGTCTGTTAGGTGAAGCATCCCTTTGGGAGTGACTAGCGGCTAATGTTTTATCCGTTATCGTTCACCGATACAAACGACTACATTAAAGTGACAGAAGTAAACCATAAGCGATAAATTATATGTTTCTGCAGTTTTTCTAATAAAATAGGACGATAACTGAACTCTTCGAAGCCGATTTTGTTCCATTTGTTTGTTAAGACTTGGTACTGGAGAGCATTTGTGGTTTTCGACTTTTAGTTCCGACACAATCACCATCTGGGCAATCATGTATGATGCCAATACAAATCGGAAGTGGCCCCTATAGGATTCCTCGATGGTTAGTTACAGTATTTTTATACGCTATCTTTTTTTTACAAGACACTGATATCTCTGCACCGTGCCAAGTGTATGTTCATTGGCCAAGCAAAGTACTTGTTTCCATCATATTATAATTTATTATGTCGTATATATAATGAATCCAATATCCAAAGATCAAGAATGTCGGCAGTAATAGTATTAGTGATGCGCGTTACTCTTAGTCGTGTTGTCCAATATGTGCAAGACTTTGGTTCGATCCCGCTCAGTGACATTCGAGTTCTCTATCTCTCTGGTGCCGTGAAATTATTACTACCCAAACTATTCTAGTATCGGCTCGCTTTCTGCAATCTACAAAAACTGGTGACTACCTTACCTGTGATGATGGTCTGGGGATGTCGCAGCATGGCTATCTCATAATTTTAGCAAGAATTGAGTTGACTAACATTCAACGGTATTCGTGACGAAGGTAAAAATCTTGAAGCATCAGCTGATTCGTAGACGTTCAATACGAGGAAGCGAATCGAATACAAGAAGTGCTGGGAACCCATATCGTAGCGTCGGTTATGTAAAACAAAAAACAACCATAGCGACGATGGTATATCAGAAAAACTTGAAACGTTAGTTGGGTTTCTAACCCGCGATTACCCTTACCGAGTGCTCACTACTATCCACCACACCAACCGAGGCCCTTATTTGCTCTCCTGTCAATCAAATTTCTGCTCCACGGTGCTATAAGCAATCATCCGTTAACGGGAATAATTTGGAGAACATAACTCAGTATTGAAGGTGAACTTAAATAACAGAATGAAGAACAATGTGATCTCACCTGCAGCTTCAGCCTAACTGGGCTCAACACCAATTTGTCCTCACCATTCCTCTGACAGACAGGGTGACAGGGACTGATTGCGCCGACAGAGTAAAGAACTAGTTGATAGAAAGGCAAGACACGGACTTCTCGACCAGTGTGATGGATTACGCATAAGCAACTCTGGTGTGAATTGTCGCGAATCCGAAGCCCAATTGAGGTTCCGGATCTTGGTTAAGTTTCAAAATAATAGCAATTGATAACAAAAACAGCAATAAATATGCACGAAATTTTGCTCTTCTATATTTTTGAAAAGTATCAGAGGACACGGCAAAAGCAAGAAAGATTCTTAGATGAAACTCTGACTTAATTACAAAATTTAAGGTATTATAATCCGGCTCGTGGTCGATGCGAACTGTTCTACTGGTCGGGATGTTGTGGGAATGGCAACAATTTCCAGACCTTCCAAAGCTGCCAGTCGAACTGCGAAGGTGCATTACTTTCATTAACCCTTTTTACGAAGAAGTTTTCGAATGTCACTCGAGGGAAAGAACGTCTTATATATAGCATTTGAATGGTATTTCAGAGGATGTGTGCAATATACCCAGTGTTAGTGTGAACTGTTTGATTAACAACCCAAAGCATCATCCATTTTCATATCTTCATTAAATTACGCAAAAAAGTGGAGAGCAGAAAGAAAATATTATTCAAAATATTGATAGCTTCCTTATTTGCCATATTCCATGGGTTGCGATGTCTCCAGGATATCTGTCTCTGTATCTATCTCCAAGATGTACAGGAATGCAAATAGCTGCGATTGGCAACCTATTCGAGAGTTCGCTTTCTGTCGAAAAAGGTCATATGAATGAAGCTAACTTCACTTAGTGAGCTCTCTGCATATGACTTGAAATTTTAGAGGATAAAAATGAAATAAGTAACGATTTGTTTTATTTTATAGTTTCTCACGTTCAATATTTTCCTTAAAATTCAAACAAGAAATAGGGCAAATGCATTAAGGAGGGTTGAGAGACCTACTGACTTTATCTGCAGAAACCACGCTTCCAGCTTTCTCCTGCAATACTCTACAAGCACATTACCTTTCATGCGAAGTCCGATAAGAATAAAACAGCTGACAGCGGCATCAGGTAGTGAAGTATCGGAATCTTCATCTGCATCGCGTCTCCCTTCATTCATTGTCGCGTGGTTTAACCAGACACTGGTATAGTCCTCATTCATTTCTGTAACCTCTCACTGTTGTCTAATAGGTTCAACGATCTCGGAGGACAAGAAGACCACTAAGGTTTCTTCTTTAAGTGCAATGTAATTAGATTTGAATTTGGAACGGGTTAAGTAAGTTGTATTTGATTTAAGCTGGTAGTACGCGATGATTATTTTGATTTCGAAAAAAGTGGCTTGGCGTAACAACATTTCTCCTCAACCTCTCGTTAGCTTAATCATCTAAGAAAATATGTGTTCGTATGTTTGACTGCTAAGTTTTAGCCAGATTTGAGAAAACATTGTCTACTTGGACGAGATCACAAAAATGCATCGTTGACAAATTGAGCGCAACAACTTTTTGTTGCATCTTTACAATTTTTATACTTTCATAATTTGTCAGATTAACTCTTCCGACACACATTACTCTTCTGGATGGTGTGAAGCTTACCTTTTGTTGGTTACGGTTCCTTCAATACAACAGAAAAACGGTGGCATGCATTTTCTCCATTGTAAACATGGCCGCTTTAGGGAAATTTTCCAGACCTTAACATGTGCAGATGCGATCATATAATTCTACCGTGCCTTGTAGATAAGCCAAAAGCATCATTACAGCATAATACAACAGAAAAACGGTGGCATGCATTGTGAAACTTGGCCCTAAAAAAATCCTCCAGAAAACTATTTGGAATTGGACCGAGATCTACACGAGACTCTATAGCACACCGATTTATGCCTAATTCATATCCCTCACTTACGTACCCATAAGTTCCTAAGAGCCTTGTAAGAATTTTTAAATGCAAAATTACTGAACTCTTTTCGCAGTCGATAATTTTTTCCATGTCAAGGCGGCTCGAGTAGAATCAGGTTGTGGGATATTATTGAATCCTTCACTGCTTTCCATGGTAGGGTTTTTAGGCCCGATGGCCAGTGGTGCACCTTTATGATATGTCCCAATTTTACTTGATCAACAAGTTCGCTAAAATAGTCTTACAACGACTAAAACTGTTTGCTCTCCGATGGAAAAACGTATAATTGTACCGATATGAAATTTGNGTCGATAATTTTTTCCATGTCAAGGCGGCTCGAGTAGAATCAGGTTGTGGGATATTATTGAATCTTTCACTGCTTTCCATGGTAGGGTTTTTAGGCCCGATGGCCAGTGGTGCACCTCTATGATATGTCCCAATTTTACTTGATCAACAAGTTCGCTAAAATAGTCTTACAACGACTAAAACTGTTTGCTCTCCGTTGGAAAAACGTATAATTGTACCGATATGAAATTTGTACTGTACAGGAATCTGTAGAAAGAAGTATTAAATTTTTGTTAAGAATGAAGAGGACGAAGACATCGAAACGTTAGCCGAATAAATCTTTCTTGCCAACCTCATTTTAACTTCCTAATCAAAGAAAGTATTGATTTATGACGAGGTTTAATGAAAGTCAGTCGGTTCTAAGATACCTGTTAAAAATTTTCATGATGGGGTTTTCAGTGGATCCTTGTGTACAAAATCAAGAATCCGGAGTTGGTTCTGCACAACTAACTCGATTTTATTTCAATAAGCTGAACAAACTCTGCGAGAAGTTCGTCTACTTTGGTGCAGGCGGAAATCGTAATAACTTCCAAACATTGGAAGAGTGTCAGACACAATGTCCAGGTAGTTGAATATTCGGTGGTGGCCGAGACTTGTTGGGGTGGATAATTCTTCGGGAAGACATGGGTACCTTTGAAGAACAACACGAGTATTGTATGGCACGATAGCTTAACATTCAGTACCTTCTAACTGCATGACCACTGGTATGCATATTTCTGAGTTTCCATGTTTTAAAATACGGCACAGTTCCTGTTAAAACATCCTTTCGATTCCCTTTTTTTTTCGATTCCCAAACGGATAATATAAATCTTTATTCCCTCTGTAATTAGCTTTATTTTCGTACATGGCTGATTATCAGCAATGTATGGAATCGAATTCATAAAATCGAGAACGAGGAACACGAAGAGCAGTACCTTATGTTAGTCACCAAGCGTTTGGTGACTTAAATCAATGACGGTCACATGTGTATCAACTTCTTAATCTCGCGTTTCTAGTCTACAAGAACTAATTCTTCCTAATCTTATCGGTTTCTAAGCTTTTCTTGTGGTGTTGGGGAAAGTATAGGCTACACAGGTAGCATTTTTGATCCGAAAACCGCCCAAAATCTTTCAGAATCAGCAAATCCATGTGCGGTTGCAGTTGCTACTCCACTAGGTCAGTGCACTGCAGGCGTCAGAAATTGTGGTGCAGGTAATTTCTGTCATGTTGGAGCCTCACCTCAAACAACCATTTGTTGTCCCAAACCAGGTAAGTCTTCAAAGCTTCACTCTTTAATACTTCATTGATAAGCCCTATTTCAACACCACGCCGCCGGCGTGAATCACATAAGGTTCAAAGCCAGGACGTTGTATTGACAGGCGCCACCTAAGCTTTACATGCCGTATAGCCAATTGTTTTTTTGCAAGAAAGATACCAATAACTTCTATTAGTATTCTTAAAGAATTGCCTTACACATTTCAGAATTTGAGGGTTGTGCTTGACATTTTTAAAAATCTAAACCGTTTCTTCCACTAACCAAAGCTGGAATTCTTACATTTTGCTAGTCTTTTTCAACGTTGTAAACAATTTCATAGTATTTTTTTCAAATGAGGCTATTTTCCTAATTGCACTTTTTTTGTCTTCTATGTGGCGACGGTGATCAGCCCATGTATTCAGTTATAGTTCATCACTGTTTTCACATGTATTTCTATTGCTATCATTTTCTTTGCACTCAAATAACAATAATAAAAATAATTACAGCAATAATATTTAATAGTACACCTATTACTATTAATCTGAACAACAATATTAATGGTAATGATAATAGTAATAGCAATAACAACTCACTCATGTTGTGGTGGTGAGCGCGTTCGTTCCCCACCGCAGGCACCTGCGGTCCGGAGTTCTGCAAAAAATATCTCAGCATTATAGTAGTTATATCTCAGCATCGTTGTGGTAATAATAATAATAATGGCTCAGAGCTTTTTTTAGCACCGATCGATCGTTGCCAACAACCACTGAACGTTGGCATCGGAAACGCAAATTTGCAGAGGTAAGATGAACCACCAATAGAATAAATTTCGCATTTTTGTTTGGAATTCTCTACAACTTTTAATTCAAAAGAAACCATTCTTATCTACCTTCGCGCTTATTTTCATTATTGAAGAATCCACTAGATTTCAAATCCACTAAATGGAATATCTCTTGAGTTCTCTAGAATCGGTATTTGGTTCGCGATTGGCTTCGGATTTTTGACAGTTTCGATGAAATTTTCGTTTCCACCTTATTCCGAAATGGAAAGAGAAAGATGCTTCTTTGCCATTCAAGGAAAAATTCTACCACTACGAAAGACTTTGAGTATTACCGTACACTGGTGAATGACAGTAAGCAGGATTGATTAGATTTCTTGTAGATGGTATTTCAATCCTCTCATGCAACAATGTCAACCATGCACTTATCGTGGTCTACAGGGTAATGAGAACAATTTTCTCACAAGACAAGAATGCGAAAGCTCCTGTCTGCGTGAGTTTTCGCTTTTTATACTTGTTTTCTGGTTCAATTAACCAATTTCTTGATGAACTGATGGAGTTTTTGCTTAATACGTAGTAATGGTGCTGTATTAAAGTGATTCAAGGATTTTCAAGTGAACAAGTTGTACTTGTTGTCAAACAGACCTTCAGTCAAATATTATCATAGTTTATATCACAACAGAGTTAAAACCGTTCTATAATTGTTAAGAATGTTCCTCCTTCGTCGAAAACAGATAGAAACGGTGGGTTTTTCGAGAATCTGGTGATCGTGTAATTATTGTTCAGATTTTCATCCTTCTGTTTGCGTTGTTGAAGCGTTTGACCTAGTGAATTACATATTAGTGTACCCTTCCAGGCTCTGAAGACGGCGATACTGACGAAACGTCAGCTACCGTTGTGTTGTATGTGTTATATTTTTAAGGAAGTGGTGTGCTGAATAACAACTTAGCAATTGCTGTAGAAAAGGAACAGCAGATTGTTAAGATTTTATTCAGTTATGATGGTGCTAATACTGTCAAGAATTCAACAGTTATCACATCGCGTAGTTACCAAATAATGCAGACCATACACCGGAAGAGAACTGAATAAAGCAATAGAGAAACCTTAGGTCAATTATAATTGCTATTTTTCCATACAAGAGTGGCACACGCGCTCTACTTAAAAAGTCTGCACGTCGTTTCTAAAGAAAAGGAAGAATGCATGGGAGGTTATGACCGTGAAGTTGAAGCTGGGAAATCTTTAACTTAAAATCGTTCAAGTTCCATTATATCATGCTCACATTCTATTCGCCAGAGATACCGTAACTAGGAACTACGCACTGATAAGAATGCTTCAATTTTAGTGAATGCCTGCAAAATCGGCACTCCATACCGCTCTCAAGGAGTGGTCGTACACTGTTCCTCTTCAAACCCTACTGTATGCCCTGCTGGTCATTATTGTCACATCGGCGCTGGACCGCCCACGTCTGTTTGTTGCCAGTCGCTCGGTAAGTTTAAGAGAAGGGTAAAAATCAGACGAATACCATTACATAGCACTAAATATAGAAATTAAGCAAGTTAAATGATAGATGTCTACTCGTCTAAATGTCTGAATCTCTTAGAAAATGGGCGATGTTGAAAAAAGGAATGAAGAAAACGCGGTGTCGGAAAAAAATGAATTACTTAAGAATGACGTAAACTGGTGAGGCAACTAGCACATAAACAATGGAGAAATCGAGAGTTTCCCAATGTACAGGCTGTAATGCAAAATAAGAACGGCGAGATAATTCTATTATTATTGAAATGAAAAGCGACACTCATTTACAGTTCTTTTTCCTTCACCAGAGGTATTCATGACACAACGGTTTTGTTGAGAAAAACGAGATCTTAATTTTTCAATGATTGAAATATTTAGCCTTACGAACAAATTCTCTTTGCCATCCGGTTCGGGCTATGGTACACAGTTTTCACAAGTATCACCTGCATGACTCCATAATATCCTAACACTTCCCTCACTCACGTATAACCTGTTCTATTGGTGGTTGTCTCTTTGATAATTCCGATTTTCAGACGTTTTTTTTCTACAGATAATGCAGTGCTCTACTGATGCTGATCGTTGAAAGAGGTGAGTACGGTGGTGGTTGTAGTTCAGCACGATATCCTTTAGTTGATTTTGGTTTCCCTTGGCACACAAAAATAAATGCTTTTTCTTCCGAAATGTCTATGAGTTCAGCAGAATTCTCAGCTATGTACTAATCATTCATTATAAAGAGTTTATGTTACACGAGGTCCTTCGTTGAAACTGGTAATATTATTCACTAGTAGGCAGGCAAATCTACTTCTTCACATGGATGTTATTACACTCGTAAATTGTTAGAAGCAACAGTAATGCTACAAAATTGGCTGTTCAGCGATGCAGACGCAATTTCATGGAGAAATGAAAGGCTGTAGTTAGCGGCAACTAGTTGGTATGTACGTGTAGTTTTGTAGGTTCTCATTAGTGACGCTGCAGGAATCTCTTGACAGGAAACCAAAATTAGAGCAATAATTATGCGAAATCCGTTATTTTTATGCGGCTTGAAAAATGATTTTAAATCCAGCTTTTTAAAAGGATTTTGAAGTCACTGCTCTACTTTATGCTAAACTACAATCTCCTACTGCAACTCTACCAATAAGGCGTTACACGTTTATGTCCTAGTTGTTTATGAATGGTTTGGCACATGCTACAGAGCTTATAGAGTACTTTTGTATCTTCTAATTAGGGGGCGATCCGTGTGCTGAGCCATGGACAAAAGGAGAAGGCGATGCAGCACTCACGCGCTTCTACTATGACGCAGTTCAACGTAAATGCTTTGCGTTCAACTATTTCGGCACTAAAGGCAACCAGAACAATTTTTTGACGAAGGAACAGTGTGAGGTAAGCGGCATTTCAGTTTTCAGATTTCGTACTTGCTTCTCAAAGGTGTAGTGTGGAATGATTCGTGCGATAGAGATAGTGAGAAGAGTGCGCATCGATTGACACGCTCATAGTACCACGAGTGGTTCACAAGTCGACAGAATGCGGTAGCGATATATGTTTGAATTTTATCATTTGGTCTCTTTCTTCATGTGTTTCGGTCATGAGCTTTCGCTGTTACTACTTAATATAATACGCTGTTTTCTTGATGAGGAAATATGAGGTTGCTACCACAGAATTTACTCATCCACGATTGCGGACGTTTCGGCGGTTTCGCCTTCTTCAGAACTGGAACTATCAAACTGGCACGCAATCTACTCGGCCGAGCTATTGTATAACCTCAACAGATAAAGCTTAATGCTGACTGCTTTAGGATTGTTTGTACGGAGAAAAACAAACGACTATCAACGGATAATCAGAACCAGCAACTGTCTAATATAGAGGACTGCAGAGGTATGTTAAATCATTCAAGCGGAGCTCCACTCAAAAAGATTCGACTCGATGTGATCACGAAGAGCCACGTCGGAAGAAGAAACAACTGTGAACAACCGGCTAAGGTTAATCCAGCTTTGAAGAAGGCAAAGGCACGGAATGTTAGCTGAATAAACATTCGTGTTAGCTTATCAACGAAAGAACACTTACCGTTCTGTCCTTTGTGACCTCACGACCTCGCGTCATACCTCAGGATGATTCTTTCACCTGGGCCAGACACATTCCTCAGCCACATAAACTCTGTACCGCTGACCTTCATCAAATAACTGGAAGGCTTACAAAAGACAAAACACTGAGTGTTTAAAAAATTCATGCATTATACCCTACCTGCTGAGGCTATCGAAGTGCTTGACTGAGTAAATTGCTCTTCAACTTGTCATTTCCAGGCTCCAAAGAAAGCCAAACCACCGAAACATTAGCTATTTTGAATAAATGAATGTGTAATAACAAACTTGCGTCTATTCATCCAGAAAAAAGTAAATTGTTGATCAATGCCGAGGTTTAAAAAGAAGTCGGTCCTAGGATTTATTTTATCTGATGTGAATTACATAATACTTTCAAAACTTCTTATCCTTACTATAACTAATAATTCTAGCGTATTACCACATATAGGAAGTAAAATTATGTTCGTCAACAGTTTTGTTATTCATCACGTAAAAATTCGTAGTAGAATAAAAATATTTAGCCGTTTTCCTCGATGAGAAAACGTGAAGTTTTTATTATAACGTTTGTTAATACACAATAGCCGACGCTTCGGGGGTTTTCTGTTCTTCAGATCTCAGACGGGTCATTGACATACGATCTATTGAGAAAAGTACTTTCGTAACCCTAGCAGATAAAACTTAACAGGTAAATTTTCATTTGCATAATAGACAGCTTCGTTTAAAAACTCATCGCTTCGTTAATTGGACGTCATCCCTTTATTTGGTGGAGATCAGAAGCAATGTTAGTATATGGGCGAGGACTGTGCCTGGGTCAGGTCAAAGAATCAGCCTGAAATATGGCGCCAGCTCAAGTGTGATCACAGTAAACTTCTAGTGTGGTTCATTTTTGGGTTTATAGAATTTATCCGAAACGCTTCAAGAGTTTTACGCGCTCATGTTTAGGATTCCTGTGCGAGAATAGTGATTTTGACTTGAAAATATTCTCCATTATGTTTGTGTCCTGTGCGCGTCTACTGGAGTACTTGATTTCACATTAAGTTTACTAAGTGCTCTTTTATACAGACGCGCAATCGTCTATCTGCTTGGCCAACGTAATGGTACCCACACGCTTCACAGGAGCCCGCAATTGAACCGCAAGGAGCAGTGACTTGTAATAATTCGTGATCTAGCACCATACCTCAGACTGATTTTATGACCTGACCCAGGCACAGTCCTCGCCCGTGTAATATTCTGTGCTGCTGATCTCCACGAAATAACTGGATAACCGTAACCCTTTTATTTACTGCCTTTTTTTTAAATGTCAGGGTATGTTGCGGAATATAACTCGTATATAATGCTGAGATATTTGCAAAACTCCAGACCGCAGGTGTACGCGGTGAGGAACGATAACTGGATAACGTACAACTAACAAAACGTTGAGTATTTAAAAGAAGCTGATCATGATGTGAATGGGATTTCACATGTTAAGTTTTGCCTCCTGGGGTTACGAAAGTGTAAAGAATAAATAAAGATGAAGTTTTCGGCTTTGATCAACCCACGATGGAGGCGCCATGCATTCGACTTCATTAAGAAACGTTGGAGGTGATTGAATGCACATCTGGCCTTTGTAATGATCGCGGTAGACTAGCGATGTAGTGCTGCTATCCTCTCAGATAACTCTGACACCAATTTACCGACCCCGGAGGGATGGAAAGCCGGGTGGACAACGGGCGCGGGATCGATTCCACGTATGTGTTGCAGACCCCTCCGACCACTGCGCCACACGTGTCTTTTCCAGGCTTTTCGTCGAGCATTTGCAAATACGCTTTCGTTCTCATTTTTGACACACGATTGGTCCCTCTTCATGAAAACTCATAGGTAGGCCCTGCACAATTTTCATTAAGCTGGTCATTTACTAGCTAGGTAAGGTTTTCTTTCAATGAGTACACGAAGGCGTCGGACGTATTTCGTGGCTAATCACCCCTTAGCAGTAAGTACTGCTGTTAACATGAAGAACTGTAGCAATTTTATTGCTAGTTTACGGTCATCTGGGTTTCTCGATGGAAATATCTAATCTGTTCTCATTTTCGGCGATCTTGTATTTGCTACAGTGAAGCGACAAGTCACCGTTTTTCATACTCAAGGCACTTCATAGCTTTGTATTTACGATCCACAGTTTTATTTTTTATTTATTTTTATTTGGATTACTCGACATCACATATTGTGAGGATCCTAGCACTTCTTGGCTCCCAATGATTACTTCGCAACCGTCACCCACGAAAGTCTTTGGAAGTGTGCATTCCAACAAATTGAGGGTGCTTTCTTCTTAACAAATATCGGTGAATAGTGGCGAATTCAATCCTTTCTATAATACTGAGAGAGCCGTGCTAGGATATCTCTACATCTTCATCGCAAGCATTAGCTTTCGTAGTTTAAAAGAAACGACCGAAACAAGTATAGCACTAACTTCCTGGCGGCTGGTTCGATCCAGTGCCTTGTGTTTATTATCACTATCACTGCCTCAAACTACAGCTTATGTTTTCTTTGTTGCCTTTTTTGGTTGCTCAACGGCTATGAATTTACACTTAAGGCAAGATGTCCAGTATGGATCAATCCATGTTCCATGGGACAGCCGATTTTAACACCAAATCAACGACCGTTACGCTGCCATAAAGATGCTCCGTGCTCAGTTGGGTTCGTTGTCTCCATTGCTCTCTTAGTTTATAATTAGACCAGATTTGCTCCATATCGAAAAAGAAGGAACCACGTGGCCAGTTGTCTGGGACATTTACCTGGACCTTTCTTGCTTACCTAATATATTTTGGCGTGCTCCACTTAAAAATGTAAGAATTTCGCGCTCGACAAACTTTTGCTGTATAAAAGTTACACATAAAATAGTTTTCAACAACAGTCGATGTTTTTCAATGGTCTGACAATTCGAGAACACTCTAAGAATCTGAGATACCACTGTGAACACCTCGAGCTATCGTTTTATACATATAGTTTTTGAGAAATATTTTTGCCTTCTTTGGGTTTTTTCGGATCCAAATTCCCATAAAAGTTTGAAAAGGAATTGGACTCGAATTAGGAAATTTGTACAGAAACAACTCAAAATTTCGAATTTTGTTTTACGTAATTAAGGCGGAAGCCATGAGAATTCGCCATACGTTTGGGAGCGTCAGCTAGTCTTTTTGGTTGAACTACTGCTTCTTCAACGGCTTCTCTACCTAAAATACGAACCTCATTAAAAAAGCGAAGAAGAAAACTATTTCTCCGATCCGGATGGTCAGAATTTCATCATGGCAATGTGAAAATCTCATGTATTTTAAAATAAATCAACAGGTTCAAACTTTGCTACGAAATGAGACGTCTGTTCAAACGCGTAACCCTAAACTATTGTCAGACACGAACGCGTCAAAACCAATGCCCATCGCAGCCAATGTATTAAATAGATCTAAATAACAATCACCATCCTCGTATAACAATATAAAATTCTAGTGCTTAACAATTTCGAGGCATTTCTGATTAATTCCGAGGTTACAAAAGTGATATGTCTCGCCATCACTTCTAATCCCACAAAAAATCTCAGGCTGACATCTCAGTGTGAGAGAAGCACATTACTCATCCATGTGAACTCTGTGTGTTTGATCAATGATCTTGAATGATCTTGAATTGTTGTTCTTACACGATGTTGTTACACAAGCTTTATTCGGCTAGCGTTTCGACGTCTTCCTCTTCATCAAAGCCGATGATCCGAGCCAAAAATCTCTATGTGGTTGGTTTCCATATGAAATACTCAGTAGGAGATTTGTAGAAAAAAGTATTTGGTTGGGTGGATTATAGGCAACTTGGTCTTTCCGCGGTCTGAAATGGCGAAATCCTGCGAAGTGCCAGCTTTGGTGAACAAATAAATGCCATGGTGAAAACCTCGTGTTTGTTCACCGAGAGATTGATGAATTAATAACACATCCATCTTAACCGCATCGAAAAAAAAACATGAGTGAATACCTCGATAAATAATGCCAGATATTAATAGAGCAAATTGCGATTCAGATACTATTGCCATATCGGCTTCGATGAATTGACGACAGCATGTTGTCCGTCTCAAGGCGATTCGTGCACTCTGGAAGTGAAAGAGGGTCGTGGAAGTCAGAGCCTCAGTCGCTGGTTCTACAATCGTCAAACTCGCCAGTGTCAACCGTTTACTTACCGTGGTGAGCTATACTAATATTCAAAAGACCAACTTTCTATAAACCTTTGCATAATTAAACAATATACCTATACACGTTCTTATAAACTGCCCTTGTCGAGCTGATACGAGATTGGCTAAAGCAAAGACAAGAACGACAATTTCTACCTACCTCACATCAGCTCAACAAGGGCAGTTCGTAGGAACATGTATAGATATATTCTAATATTACTTTAGCCTTATTGATTTAGACTGTGAAGAGTTTCTAATGGTTGGAATGGATACTAGAGTTAGTGATGTGAAGTCCAAAAGGTGGCGAAAGCCGACAGGAGGAAAAAAGTTTTTTGAAGAATACTTTTTCCTTAAGGACAGAGCGTTGATCAATAGATTAGAGATGCGCTAAGCATTGGTCTCCACTAGGCTTTATAGAGATGAATGGGTGATTATCTGGCCTATATAGTGGTTTATGATAACCAATTGATATATCAAATCAGTATCGCTGTCCCACTCGGCCGGTCTGGGTATCAGTACGCCGAACCTGGAAAGAGAGAAGGTTCGGTGAGCCGAAGGTGTGTAGTTAAACCATGGATTCTGCGCGTCTGCGGCTACGCCATGGACGTCCATCCATCGTAGGCTAAATTTACTGAATTCTACGGAATGTTGGAACTATCCTGATCATAAAATTTAATCCGATCTATTTCCATCAGTTCTGTGGCTTTTCACACAAAAAGTTTCTTTATTCTCGATTTTACTTAACGACAAGAATGATAGAAGTAACTGCCACGACCGACTTTCTATTAACCTCGGCATTGATCAAGTGATTTTCTTCGAATTTTTGTTGAGCAAACGCGAGGTGTTACTATTCTTTGTTCACGATTATCACGCACAGAAATCACGTGGAAGTATAATGTACATTATGGTCTCTACGTGACATACTTAGTGGAAACCTCATAGAAAGCGGCTCTGAAGAAGGCGAAATCCGCCGAAACGTCAGCTTAATCGTGAACAAAGAATAGTAACACCTCGCGTTTGCTCAACAAAAATACGAAGAAAATAATAGAAGTATTGTGAAAATGTATGTTTTATAATATTTGAGAACAAATGTTCAAACGATGGAGGACAAAGCTCTCGGTGTTGATTGATCCCTGAGAAATGCACCATGCATTCGACTACATTAAGCATGTTTGGAGGTGACTGGATGCATATCTGGCCTTTACAATGACTCGAAGGTGGCCTACCGATGTATCGGGCCAATGTTGCTATTTTTCCAAACAAGTCTGATACCAATTTGCCGACCCCGGAAGGAGAGAAGACTTGGTGCGCCTGGGACGCCGGTGTCAACTCTATGTATACTGTGGGGCGCGTCCGACCACTACGCCACACGCGCCCCTATTAAATAATAAACTACAAGAAAATTACTTTATCGATTCTTTCAAAATTCGAAAAATTAATAAACTTAAAAAATTCAGGAAACAGAAATTTTTACATTTTTAGGAATGGAAGGTAACGAGAACAACTTTTTGCTACGAGAACACTGTGAAGCCACATGTCCGGTGTGGGTGAACGTATGCCCCAAAGGGGAACCGCACCTTCTTCACACAGGGATGCCTCAACACTGCGATCCACTGAACGAGGACTCGTGCCCAGAGTCACATTGGTGTCACCCCGGTTAGCAATGTGTTTCCTACTTTACTTTTATTCTGGTCTTTCTCAATACTCTAGAGCATTGTAAGACACGGTTCTCTATCGGAAATATTTAAACGAGCTCAAAGTGCTTGCAACGTTTAATGTGGATTGGCCTTTGAACCACTCTAATAGATTCTTGAGGATTCTGGTTTTTCAGCAACCATCGTTAGGTTTTCGATGATTTCATTCTTGTTTAGAATTCAAACCATCAGAAAACTTTAAATATCTTTTTACACAACCTGTCTTCACATCTACTATGCAGATTCCAGCACCTTTTGAATTCGATCCGTTTCCTCACATCCTTTATTGACCAAGGCTTTTTAAATAACGTAGATGCGACTTTTACTTAAGAACTGTCGTTTTCTTCATCAATGGCCTTGAGTGCTGAGCTAATCGATTCTCTTATTTAAATTGCAGAAAATGAAACGTTCTCAAACAAGTCTGGTACCAATTTCGCTATCTCGGAGGAATGAGAGGTCTTATGAGCCTACTGCGGCGTTAAAATAGATCTATGCTTTTGGCGAACGATATAATTATCACTGCGTTACCCGTACCCTCTTTAAGTTGCTTATTTTTTGAAATTATAATGTAAGCGTGGTCGCTACAAACCATTACTCATCTATCCTGTCATCTGTCGTCTAGTTGATCGTCGAGTGACTTGAGCGGAAGCTAGTAAATCTTCCACTTCTCCCTGTCACCATCAATCAAGAATGGCCCAGTGGGCTTTGCTTGCTCTAAGAACTCACTGAGCATTTTATCTTCAACGGTTTTTGTGAAGAAGTCTGACCGTCGGGTCTGCGGTGTTTCTGCAGCGCGTTTAACATCTCAAGGAATTCAGTAAACAATGGCACTTGCCCAAGGATTGTCGTTTATACGCATTACGTGTCAAATCCGTCTCATCTTCGACAGTTTGGCGTATGAAACATCATCACTGATTTTTGATCGTTGATCGAAGTGAAAGCTTCGGATTCCTTTCCTCATTTATGTAACAGAGGATGCGGCTATCACCGTCCTTTCGACTGCGTGTTCGATAAAACTGGGAGCTTGTTTCATCCTGCTTACTCAGCGACCAGGTTTGTGATGCATACGTTAAGGCAGGAAGTATCGAAGAGTTGAAAACGTGTGCATGGAGTCGGGTGTTTTTTATTCTCTTTCCTATATTCTCGGTACCATTGAAAGTTCCCCAAGTCTCCTTCTGCTCAACTCTGGAGCTAAGTCGTTCATCCTGTTCATTTCCCGACTTAGATGGGCGTAACTGGAGTACTCAAAGATATTCACTACACTGAGCGTTAATGAGGCATACAAAACCAATCCGTTTCTCATAAACAACGTTTTTGTGAGATTTAGTCGAAGGCCGATTTCTCCACTGGCTTTATTAAAGTCGGAAAGCACTCGTTCCGCTTGTCTAATATTTGGTGTTATAAAGATGATATCATCAGCAAAGCGAAGATGGCATAATTGCCGACCATCGAATTCCACTAACATGTTTTCTTATTCCAGTCATCGCCTGGCTTTCCCAAAGGTGGTGGCAAACATTTTTGGCGAGACGGTATCGTCTTGCCTAACCGCTGTTTTGGCGCTGGTGTTAATATAGTTATAGAATGATGATATCTTGGTTGTGAAATCTTTATACAGTTGACGAATAATCTTTATGCGCTGAGTAGGGACTCCTTAACTATCAGGGGCTTCGATGTTTGCTTCTATTCCAACTGAGTCAAAAGCCTTCTTTCGATCGATGAAACTGAGACAGAGCGTGTCTTGTGCTTTCACGATGCTTCAATGAGTCTTGTTATGGTGTGGATGTGCTCCATCGTACTAAATCCTCCTCGAAACCCTGCTTGCTCACATGGCTGTCCTTCGTCCAGTGTTCTGTTGATCGTGTTTAGGATTGCTCGAGTGGAAAGTTTGTAGGCGGCAGACAGTAAGCTGATTAGGCGATTGTTGCCCATATTGTGCAGGTCACCGTTCTTGAACAATAACACGGTCTTATTGGTTTTCCACTGAGTAAGGACCTTGCGTTCAAACAGGTAACGTGAGAAGAGCCGAACCAGTATGTTTACGAGGAGTGAAGGATGGTTCTTCAGGTGTTCAAACCGTATCGTAACCGGGCCAAGTGCTGTTCGACTTTCACCGAACAAATTACATGTCGAATTTTAGAAAAGAGAACCGGTAGTGCGACATATCAATTCTCCTGTATATGTGATACAGCCACAATAATGCTGATATATTTGCAAAACTCCGGATCGCAGGTAACTGCGGTGGGGAGCGTACGCGCTATTACTCTTTCAGGGGGCTAACGCGCTCACCACCACATCAAGCCGATCTATTCTTTTTACTTCTGTTCAGCAAAGACTAGGTGCTATTTTATTTCTTTATTTACGTAAAAGCTGACGTTTTAGCAGATTTCGCCTTTCTCAGAGCCTGGAAAGGTCAAATTGGCAGCAACCTATTCGGCCAAACAACTCTTTAACCAAACAGAGATGTTATGTTATGTTATGGAGGTGTTTGGCCGAATAGGTTGCTGTCAACTTAACCTTTCCACGCTCTGAGGAAGGCGAAATTCGCCGAAACGTCAGCTTGTACGTAAATAAAAAAATAAAATAGCACCTAGTCTTTGCTGAACAGAAGTAAAAAGAATTGTTCAATCAATGCAGAGGTTAACAGAAAGTCGGACGTGGGAGTTACTTCAAGCGGATCTGTCGTTCCGTCTATAACTAACTAGTTTTCTATTGAGCAGTGCCATCAGCACCTGTCAACGGGACTCATTTGGAAAGCCCAAATCAGCAGTGAACCCAGTTAGGCTGAGGCTGCACTCGAAAAAAGAAGTTAACATCGTGATTTCGACTGCAGCCACAGCCTAACTGGGTTCACTGCCGATTTCGGCTGCCCAAATCAATCCCGCTGACGGGTGATTGCTGATACCAGTGATCAAAGAAAACTAGCTGAGAGAAGCGAAACAAGGGACCCGTATGGTGCGGTGATGAGCGCGTTAGTGGCACGAAAGGATAGTAGCGCGTTCGTTGTTCACCGTAGACAGCTCGATCCGGAGTGTTGCATGTAACTGTTCCGTCCAAGCGTCGGGGTGCAATCATTTTGCTTTTGTAATGAGCGAAGCTTCGGTGGGCTTTGCCAATGATTTTTCCAGTTTCTGTAGCTTCCACTATACCTGCTGCTCACCTGTTAAGCAGCAGCTAACATTAGTATAAGAAAAAAATCCTCTTGGTGGCACTCTTCTGGGAACATTCCTGTTTTTTCAATCGTTTTCGTGTTCGGGATTTTACACCAAGGCAATCACAATTTCATAGCCATACACCAATGAATCCTTTGTCTTCTAATCTGTGGACTGTAAGGAATTTTATTTCAGCTAGTATTTTTCACTATGAGATGAGATATTTTGCTTAAACTCTTGGAGGGGACAATTGTTTCTAGCCTCGTGCCAATTATAAGTGGCTCATATCTTTTCGAATATGCTACTTCTGGTTCACTTAAACCCACAACCAGTTTGTTTTAAGCTTCATTACGAATGCTACTACATAGAAGAAAAATCTATCCGTACAAAATGGGATTTATACACCTTCGTTAAAATGACAAGGTCATGCTTGTTCCATAAGGAGGAGCGGGAGTACTCTGTGCTAGCTATCTCCACCAACGATACACCCGGGTAACTCTGTGGTAGCGATCTCCATGAACAATACGCCCAAACGCACCTGTTTCGAGCCTTTTAGGGGCCAACCAAGCCTCCCATCCTTTCGGAATCACGAAACTATTACCAAACTTGTCTAGGTAGAACTATCTTCGATCGACAAAAAGCTGGCAACAGTCTATGGTGACGATCTACCTTCATAGGTTTACCCTAGGATTCTAGGGAGAATTTGCAAACCAGCATTCAACGAAATTCAAGAACAGGAAGAAAATCAACCGGTGACCGAACAGTGTGCAAAAAAGTTTGAAGACTTTCGTTGATGTTGGATGCGAGAAAGCTAATCGGATTCAGGAAATTCTGGAACCAGCGCCTTACGATATGTGATTTCGGATCTTGTGAACTAAAGCAAATAAACAGAAATGCATGTATTTATAAATATTTTGGGTTCTAAACAACTTTAGTGGTTAAAATATTTTCCATAGTTGTGAAAAAACCCGCGTGGTAGTCAATTTGTCAAATAATGATTTTAACCCTTATGAATGGTCTTGAATGCTAGCGCTATCAATTCTTCCTGGTATCCCTGAATAGTCATGGGAGCAGTCAAAGAAGTTTGTTAACAATTTTCCGACCTCGTAGGGATAGATGGTTTGGTTTGCCGTGAAAGATTTTAACGTTTTTTTTTGCTAGAGAGAACAACGAAAGTTCTAAAAACTCTAAAGCCTTCGTGATAGGAAATATTGCAAGTTTGCAAGCGATTATCACTTATTAGGCACTAACATTGCTAGCGTAGCCATCGAATCCCTTTAAAGAGAATGTATTCCCTAAAAATCCATAAATCCAACAAGTTTTTCTATCAGTTGCGATTAATCGAATCAGGCCAATCAAGAAACGTGTTTCTTGAAAGTTCAAGGTGTTCTTCTACGTTTGGTGACCTTCACATGGCTTAAGGTCCGGATGCATCAACGACGATGTGCTGCCCGGGTCGGGTCGATCCATGTATGAGTGCAATGTCAGAGGGCGAAGGACCACTACAATTGACGAGGTGAGTTATTACTATTTTTTAACTGTTTTTTATACGTTTTTAGTTATAAGCTACCATGGGACCTAGTGTGGTATAAAAGGATAAAGTTATCAGCGATTTTGTTCGTATTTTTGAGCAAACGCGAGGTGTTATTGTTCTTTGTTCACGATTAAGCTGACGTTTCGGCGAATTTCGGCGAACGCTGCTTGAGAAGGGCGGGCTTAGAGAGTTCGGTGAGCGTGGTTGAAATACCACCGAGTAATCTTAAGCGCCAGCTAGTTCGTAACCGCCTATATGACCGTCTATGTGCAACTCAAAATTGCATAATTTGCCCCAGTGGTAGAGACGGTGATTGCATGAGCTCGGGTATAGTTTATCTGATCACCTGTAAGACGTGTGGTGACGAATACATTGGCGAAACGGGTAGACCCCTCTGTGTAGGCATGAAAGAACACCTAGCCGGCAAAAATAGACCAAATACCCCGCTAGGCACGCATAGGACCCAGAGACATAACGGGGACGACTTCGAAGTATGTGTCACGATCCTCGCACGCGAATCGAGAACACAGGCGCGAAAAACCCTCGAGGCACTCTGGATTAATTCCAGAAATCCGAAAATGAACCGCAGGGAAGAATGCCTCATTATCACGCGTGATATAGGGCAGTATATAAAACTGCTTTTCTGATGTGAGGGGCACATTATACTTCCACGTGATTTCTGTGCGGTTGGTCTCTACGTGACATACTTAGTGGAGACCTCATAGAAAGCGGTGAGTGTGCAAAGCTGTGTTCAAAGTGATTGAAATCTTGGTTTGGGGTTTCTTTGTTTGGTTATGGAGGCGTCTGGCCGAGTGAGTTGCTATCAGCTTGACTTTTCCAGGCTCTGAAGAAGGCGAAATCCGCCGAAACGTCAGCTTAATCGTGAACAAAGAATAGTTACACCTCGCGTTTGCTCAAAAATACGAAGAAAATCACTTGATCAATGCCGAGGTTAATAGAAAGTCGGTCGTGAAAGTTATCAGCGTTGATCAATCATTGAGGGATACATTCGACACAATTGAGCACCACTGGAGATGAATGAATGCACATCTGGCCATTAAAATGACTCGCAGTGGCCTACCAGTGCTGCTATCCTCCCAGATAAATCAGGTACCACGGGAATAGATTCCTTGTGTATTGGAAGTCGCCTCCAACCACTGCACCACACGCACCCTTAGTGTGGTATATTCACGTATAACTGTGGATATCACCGTATAACCTGTAGTCCCGTTGATCGTCGAGTGACTCAAGCGAGGGCCAGAAAATCTTCTATTTTTCGTCGTCGCGTGGAAGAGTGGCCCAGTGGGTTTTGCTCGCTCTAGGGACTCATTGAGCATCATACTTTTTTTCTAGACTTTTCGTGAAGAACTTTGACCATCGAGTCGGTGGTCTCCCTGCAGTTCGTTTGACACCCCGACGTACTTAGTCACTAACGGTTCTTGTCCGTCAGCTGTCATTCATACGCATTACGTTTTCGGCCCAACTTATCTTCGACTGTTTGGCGTACAGAACGGCATCGTTGACTTTTGGTCGTTGACGCAGATCGGAGCTTCGGATTCCTTTCTTTATTTGCGTAACACGGGATACTCCTAGCATCGTCCTTTAGACTGCGCGTTCAATAACGCTGAATGATTTCTCATACTGTTTATATGGCGACCAGGTTTTTGACGCATATGTTAGGGCAGGAGGTACCGTTGAGACGAAAAGGTGGGCACCGAGTCGGGTGTTCTTTGCTCTCTTCACTACATCCTCGATGCTCTTGAAAGCTCCCCAAGCCGCTCGTTTCCTTCTGCTCAACTGTGGAGCTAAGTCGTTCATCATATTGATTTCCCGACCTTGCTTACTTACTTACTTGGATACTTGGTACAGCCGGCTGACTTTGGTTACGAACACATTCGCCCAACATAAAGGTAGGTGGCCATCCGAGGGAAGCCTGTATTCTCTTAGAGTTCACTCTACAGTTCTTTTCGTCCATCTGTCGTCCGTTCTTCTCATTATGTGACGGCGCCTCTGTGTTTCGTTATCCATGTATATCTCCACAGATCCCGAAGATGTGACAGATTTCGAAGGTCAGAGCTTCGCATTCCGGCTACATATTGAGAGTTCCGGTTATATATCTGAAGGCACCGCTCAAGCGCTTTGTGAGTAGTTCGAAGCATTCTTGACGTAGTTGAAGTATCAACCCACGTCTCTGCAGCATAACAGGGAGCTGGGAGGGCCGTAGAATCATAGAAATGAGCGCGGATTTTCGGGTCCTTCAGTTGGTCGGTGGCTTCTTTGAGAGGCCCGAATGCGGCCCAGGCTGTTTTCCTTCTTCTATAGTTCCTCCTTCATGTTGTTTTCCATGTTCATTGTTCGCCCAAGGTAAACGTACGAGGTGGTCTCTGCAATGAGAGAGCCATCCAATTCAATATTTTCGCCTTCGCACAACGGATTTTTTATGAACCGGGCCTTCTTTCCATTTATGCGCAGTCCTATCTCCGCTTCGTTGAGCTCGTTGGTCATCATCTCTGCTTCGCTAGTACTTTTTGAGAAGATGACAATGTCCTGGGCAAAACGAAGGTTTGATAGGAATTTTCCATCAATATATATGCCTTTCTTATCCCAATCGAGTGACTTCATTATCCAGGGCAGTGCGGCACTGAACAGCTTTGGCGATATTGCGTCCCCCTGTTGAGCCCCTTTTCCTATGGCTATTGTAAGAGGTCGATGGAAAAGCTGTATTTTCGTAGTGCAGTTCTGATAACAGTCGGACAGAGTCCTTATGTAGGACGGGTCCACTCCTTGATCTACGAGCGCTAATAGGAATGCGTTCGTTTCAACACTGTCAAAAGCTTTTTCATTCCGGACAAAGGTTAGCTGTACAGCCAAGTGGTGTTCTCGACAATCTTCGATGACGCTGGAGACGGTTTAGATGTGGTCCATGCAGCAACACCCATTTCGAAATCCTGCTTGCTCGACTGGTTGCGCAATGTCCCTGATATGCGCGAGAGGTTAATCTTCGTAAAGAGCTTGTAGAGTACACTCAACAAGCATATAGGACGTTAGTTACGAAGATCCCTTCGGTCTCCTTATTTGGGCAGGATGACCGTGCGCGACGTCCTCCACTGGTCTGTGAATTTTTCCTTTTAGAGGTAGAATGTCATATAGTTGCGAGAGGTACATGTATGTTGTGGCTTCCAACTCTAAGCAAGTCAGCAGTGATATTATCGGGTCCTGGAGCTGTGCCTCTTTTCATGTTTTCTATCGCAACTCGAACCTCCGACGGAACAATTTCAGGCGATTTTTCTCCACCGGGGATATTAGGGCCTGGGACGGGGATTGAGGAACGGAAAAGATTGGTGTAGAACGTTCCCGCTATTAATTTCATGTCATGGCAACAAAGTTTCGTCGATCCCATCTTCGTTCATCAGCGTTGACAGCGGAACATTGTAATTACACAGGTCTCGACGGCATTTTTTTAGACTGCTTCTTTTCTGTGATGCTTCCAGTATTTTCTTCTGCTTGTACCGTTGTAGATCTTCCTACAAGGCTCTTCTGCAGCTGGCATTTATTACTAGTCATATTGAAAGTGTTGGAGTAGGATCAAGCTTTAGTTTCCTTCTGTTTTCGAGCAACCCTTTAGTAGTGATGGAGATACGACCCGATCTTCTTGTTTGAGGAACTGAGGCGAATTCGGCATGGCTTTTCAGTCCTTCGACAAGCAGCTCGTAGTCTTCCGTTGGGTCTTCTTTAATCTGCCAGTGGCGTTTGGACAGGACTTCGTTGAGAATGTTCTCGTCGTATACAGCTAGAGTTTTACCTCGTGGTCTATGAAGAGAGTTCTTCTCCAGCTTGCGGCTGAATCGAATTTTCGTGCGAAGAAGGCGGTGATCGGTACCAGTACAGAATGACGGGACTACCGATTTGTCAAGTAGACACCATCTTCTGTTTGACAGAATATCTCCGCATGAATCATGCCGTTGGGAGAATCTCATGTCCAGCGTCGGTTTTCCTTCTTCTGGAAGAACGAGTTTCCATGGAAGAGGCGTACTGCTGACAGCTGTCCTGCAAGACGGTTCCCATTCTCATTTCCTTCTCCTAATCCAAAATTTCCGATCCTGTATTCGCTCTCGTTGGCTTTTCCTATTCTGGCGTTAAAGTCTTCGGCAACAAATTTATAATATGCACTATCATTGCGGATGACTTCCCCCAACTTATAGTAGAACGCATTTAATTCGTACTCATCAGCTACATCGATTGGTGAGTAGCAGTTGATGATAGTGATCTAAATAGATGAAAGTAAAGCAGAGCGTTTTTTTGTACTCGCAATACTTCTATAAGTGATTTTCTTCGTATTTTTGTTGAGCAAACGCGAGGTGTTACTATTCTTTGTTCACGATTAAGTCGTGACGTTTCGGCGGATTTCGCCTTCTTCAGAGCCTGGAAAGGTCAAGTTGATAGCAACTCACTCGGCCAGACGCCTTCATAACCAAACAAAGAAACTCCAAACCAAGATTTCAATCACTTTGAACACAGCTTTGCACACTCACCTTCTCTTCTATGAGGTTTCCACTTAGTATGTCACGTAGAGACCAACCGCACAGAAATCACGTGGAAGTATAATGTGCCCCTCACATCAGAAAAGTAGTTTTATATACTGCCCTATATCACGCGTGATAATGAGGCATTCTTCCCTGCGGTTCATTTTCGGATTTCTGGAATTAATCCAGAGTGCCTCGAGGGTTTTTCGCGCCTGTGTTCTCGATTCGCGTGCGAGGATCGTGACACATACTTCGAAGTCGTCCCCGTTATGTCTCTGGGTCCTATGCGTGCCTAGCGGGGTATTTGGTCTATTTTTGCCGGCTAGGTGTTCTTTCATGCGGACACAGAGGGGTCTACCCGTTTCGCCAATGTATTCGTCACCACACGTCTTACAGGAGACCAGATAAACTATACCCGAGCTCATGCAATCACCGTCTCTACCACTGGGGCAAATTATGCAATTTTGAGTTGCACATAGACGGTCATATAGGCGGTTACGAACTAGCTGGCGCTTAAGATTACTCGGTGGTATTTCAATTGCGCTCACCGAATTCTCTAAGCCTGCCCTTCTTAAGCAGCGTTTTATAGCTGTACTTATATCATTTGAGATGAAGGGTAGGATAAACGGGACCCTTCTATCGCTAGAGTTGACGTTTGGAGGCCTACGATTTCCTCTACACCTATTCTGAGCTACAGTTTCGTAGCCATTAGAAACGGCTATTTGCCGTGCCAAGTTCCGGGACTCCTCTCTCTGCTCTCTTTCCGTGCACACGTTGGTTGCTGTTCGAAACATGTTTCTTATANCTTATAAGCGCCCTTTTCGTGTGAGAGGGGTGAGAGGAAAAGTAATGAACCAAGATGTTTTTACTACTTGGCTTTCGGTACCACTTTGTAATGTAGCCATTTTCTGATAGGTGAATTTGTACGTTCAGAAACGAAGCCATTTTTCTTTCGGCTTTTCTCGGGTGAACTTGATATACTCTGACTGTGCGTTTAACAATTCGAAGCATTTGTCCATTTCCTCTTGTGTTGAGCAAAGGACAAAGCAGTCGTCTACATACCTACAATAGAGTAGCGGCCCGAGATCAGTCACCGGTGCTTCCACCTTAGACATAAATGCAATGGCAAGGCTTGGAGCCAGTCGTTGTCCCATTGCCAACCCTCTTATTTGAGCGTAGTACTTTCCAGACCATCTGAAGATTGAGCAGCTCAAGCATTCTTTTAAGAGTGCCATCAGATGCTCTATCCTGAAGCCATACATGTTTATTTCTCCTTCGTGTTGTGTAAGGAGTTCGAATATGGCTTGCATTGCGGAGTCATTCGACACGTTTGTATAAAGGGCGGTAACGTCGAAGGACTCCATCACGCACGCGCTGTTGGGTTGCGCAGTACGTAGACGATCCAGAAACATCTGGGTATTCGTAAGATGGGCTGGAATGTGTTTCAACAACTGGTTAAATATTAGGGTTAAAAACCATGTTAAAACCAATCACTTGATCAATGCCGAGGTTAATAGAAAGTCGGTCGTGGCAGTTACTTCTATAAGTCTTGTCATTATGTGGATGTGGTCCATCATACTAAATCATTTTCGAAACCCTGCTTGCTCACATGGCTGTCCTTCATCCAGTGTTCTGTCAGTTCTGTTTAGGATGACTCGAGTGTTAAGTTTGTAGACGACAAGCAGCAAGCAGATTGGGCGATAGTTGCCGATATCGTGCAGGTCACCCCTTCTGATGAATAACACAGTCTTGCTGGTCTTCCACTGAGTAGGGACCTTGATTCAGACAGGTAACGTGTGAAGAGCCGAGCCAGTGTGTTTACAAGGACTGCGGGAAGGGTTCTTCAGGTGTTCAGATCTTACACTGTCGGGAGCTGGTGCTGTTCGATTTTTCTCCGATGAAACAGGATGTCGGAGCATGGAAGGGAAAACCGGTGGTACAACACGTCCATCCTCCTTTATTTCATTGATGAAAGGTTTACAGAGCTATCGAAGAAATTTGAGTAGTATTTGTGGATGATTTTCTCCATTGCCTTTCTCGACGCTGTAACTGTTCCGTTTGGGCGTCGAAGTGCAATTGTCTTGGTTACTGGGACAGCTCGCTTATATAAGGTTACCAAGTAGTTAAGAAGATTCTGTCAGATCAGCTGCTCATCTTTGCCTGTGCCCCGCAGGACTTTTTGTGATTAGCATTCACAACGCCAGACATTTCAAACATGGGTAATTAAACGGTTTATAACAGTTATACAATAATTATGGCAAAACAGTGCAACTGTACAATTGATAAGACAATGGTAGGAGTAATATATGGGCACGACCTGATCACTGATGGTTCAGGTTGCTCAAGAGTGAAGAAGTTATCATATGTATTTTCTTATATGAGTTGGTTGTGAGAAAATGACATGGTAACTTGGACAGCATTGCTGTTAACTGAACGAGCTAATCGGGGAGCGGTTTATATACATTCATTGATGGGCAGAGTTGGGCTAGACTGGATGGAGAGACGGTTTACCACTAAGATATGTTGGAAGCATTTCTCAAACACTGAAATCTGATAAATCGATATTCAAATCGTAGGGCTGTTACCGCAGAAATTCATATGAGATAACAGCCTGCGAAATGTTGAACATAAGGTTATCAGATCGTCATGGGAAATAGCATGCCAGATGTTCTGCGCAGAGAACATTCTAATGTTAGTGAGGAAGGTTTTCTATATTGGTCCTGTAATTGGCGAAGCTTCGGTGGACTTTGCGAATGTTTTTCCTACTTTTGCAACCTCGACTATTATTGCTGCTCTTCCCTCTTTGAGATGTTCTTTTATCGCCTCTGCATTGTTTTGCAAGTTCGGGCGTTAGTTCGCGATTGCCTGTAGCTCATGCGATTCCACGCTGGCGTATCAGCTTGAAAGTTTCTGGAGACAGACGTTTCTTGGTGACTTTCGAACTCTCAGCTTTTATAGCGCGAACGTGAAGATGTTGAATGAGGAGACCGTATTCTTCGCCGATGTTATCGACAGCGGCATCTTCCTAACACCCGGCTAATGAATTGAGTAAGTCCCAGTTTATGGTGGTTCTGGGACTTCTGTTTTTGAATCTACCGACTTTTTCTCTTTTCCACGAGAAATAGAATCTTGCACGAAGTAGACGATTTTCTGATTCCGTGTAGAAATTTGGGACAACAGCGACATCGGTTAGAAAAAACCTTCTGTTGTGGTCTATTTCGTTATAGTACTCTCTTTTGGGAGACTGCGACGTCCAGTGTTAAGGATCGAGCCTTTGAAATTGCGAGTTATTATGGACGGTCTTGGTTGCCATGATAAACTCACCGCTCACCCTGTTTGTTCCATTCTAATTTGTGGGTTCCAATGTGAAGTCCTTCAGACGTTCTTCTTGGACCAATCCTGGCGTTGAAATCTCCAATGATGGCCTTGAAGAATGCATGGTCTTCTTTGTAGAACTTCTCCAAGTTCATATAGAACACTTTGCCTTCTTCTTCGTCATAGTTTAATGTCGATGCTTAAACGACGCAGATTGTCAGAGCCGATATTGATCTATATCTTTTTAATCGTAAATTTTTGATTCGAGTTTGCAAGCTCTTCGAATGAATTGATGTTCGTGGACAAACTCGTGTTGACGTGAACGCCGACTCCTCTACTGTCGCATGTTCCGAGGAACAGTTCTTCTCCAATGTCATAGATGGCGTTGAATGGGTGACGTCGTCTCGTCTCAACCAGGCCAGTAACGTCGTAACTTATCTTTTTCGCTTGCACGGCCAATTCTTCTATCGAGGACTCGGATGCAAGTGTACGTGCATTGTAGGTACAGATCGTCACCTTAGTTCTTCGTAATCCAGGCAGCTTCCATAGGCCCTTAGATTTTAGCAGCCTCTCCGTACTCGTCCTACCCAACGCTGCCGAATTGGGGCTTTTTCCCTCAGAGCCGATATTGATCTACATCTTTTTTTTCGGGGTCAGAGGAATGAAGCTGGTTTCTTTTAATGTGATTAGCATTTTGATACCCACGTATAGCTTGCTGGGCTCTGAACGTGGGGGCTGGGTATACTCACGGGTAGCTTGCCAGGCTCTCGCGGAGTGGACATAGAGCTCATTTGCTGGAGGTGACTCCTAACTGCCTCGCATATACTCTGTCACTTGATTGCGGGTTTTTGGCTGAATTGACTCGTAGAATATAATCCGCGTAAGCAAAAACGCATTCACGCACGCATGCATGAATACGCCTCGTAGGTACAGAAATTATGTGCCAAATCGGCGCAGCGGAAGCACAGAGTCCATGCCCTGGATCCACCTGCGTCTCTGGGAAACATACGGTCGCTTTTGGTCCGCGATTAACACCCTATCCGCCACCTGGGGAAGCGCCACGTAGCCTCGCGACTAGCTGGCCCGAGAACCCTTATGAGAGGGACCTCCGTGACACTAAGTAGAATTAACGCTTTAGTAAGCCCTATTGTTTTTATGCTGTCGTAATTTTTGTTACTTTTCTTCGATTACAATGCTGTGCAATCATTTTAGTGGAACTACCATGGTGCTGAGATATTTGTAAAACCCCAATCCGTAAGTGTCTGCGGTTAAAATCGAACCCGCTACTACCCTTTTCTGGGGCTAACCCGTTCACCACCACACCGTGCAGGGTCTTATTTGCGTCAGTACCTGCTATATCAATAAAAAATTTTTTGCAACTGTTTTATCCTTGTATTTTCTTTTCGTCTGCCATGTTTCTCAATATTTGGCTCTATCTACAGGTACTATTTCGATGCATCACAACGGCAATGTTTGCCATTCACTTTCCGCGGGATAAGAGGCAGTGTTGTGAGTTTTTAAGAGCCCTAAAACACAATTGTTACCTTAGTAAGTGCTTTAATAATCCATAAATTCCCAGAACAACTTCATGATCAAGGAGAATTGTGAAGCTCGTTGTCCGATTCAGCCGAATCCGTGCCCGTTGACATTGGTCTCATTCACGAGACCGGTAGGTTATAAACTTAATCATTGCGTCGAATCTGCCTACTTTACAATATCTAGACAATTTGCTTACTTGAGTACCTGAATGGCCCGTCATCACCGGTTGTGTGGGCCCCAGAATAATTTTCATTTTTTCGGAGACTTGCTAGTTTATTCATTGTACCTCCCGGGAGCCCAGAGATCAACCAGACCAAAGTCTGCCCAGGTCGTCGCCACCACGGACAGTTGCCGCCTTGTGGATCAGAGGGAGATTTACCACAATGCAGCTAGTTTGATATCACGACGGTGGTGGATCCTGGCGCTGGTTTACTCTCAGTTGGAATTCCTATTGGAAACGTCGGGTTCCTTCTCAGATTGGAAGGTCCTGCTGGGATAGGTTTCCGGCTGTACCTCATAGCCTTCATGGAAGGGTGTTATGTGAAAGCTACTGCAAACAATGCTGAGATGTTTGCAAAACGGAGACCCTAGGCCATATTCTAGCCCGCGATTATACTTTCGCAAATATGCCAACATCATTGTGGTTGAATTTATGTTGATATTTGAAAGTGGATGGTTACGACAATGAAAGATGAAGCTGGAAATGGTTAGATAGAGTTCTACCTTCCAGCATATTCGCTCTAGCCTTTCAAGGAAAGCAGAGTGAATACGTTCGCTTTTTGTTAAAGTCTGATTTTTAGACATGTTTTGCAATTTTAGAGTCTTTAATGAAGAAAATCTGAAAAGGATATTTAGAAATTTGCTTGCTTTTATGACCAAAAAGAATTAAAGGGCAGTCTATGATATTTCACCTCTGTTTTCACTCTTATCTGTAGACGACTCTAACGAGCTGCTCATCCACTTTTCAATGTCCAGAAAATCAGTGGTGTCATGTGGGTGAGACGATACAGACAACGGTATGCTGTCCAAACAGTAAGTTCTTCATTATTTTTCAATGAGGTGAGCAAAATCCTAGTAGAACAGCTGTATTTCGAAATCCAAGCATACCAAAGTTATCTACAAAAGTAACAGTTGGAGGAACGATGTTGTTATTTAGATTTCACATCTTTCAAAGAGATCTTCGAAGAAGGAATCGGTGAAGTTTGAATATAACCCACTAGTAAAAAGTTTTTGTAAACTTTTCATTAATGGTTGCTTACGTTAAAAAGCTTGATTGGAAAATGTTGAGAAGCATAACTGAAGCCTTTTACATTTCATGGGTTCTTCACACCTAAACAAACCTCTTTCTTCTTCCATTACTAACACATTTTTTGAAAAAAATCACTACGTACAGGTAGCAACTTACAAAATCCTAAGAAAAAAATCAGTAAATGCTATATCATTCTCTGTTCAGCCGTTTCAAATCCGTGCAAAGCACCAGCTCGAAATCCTGGAGAGGGTCCGTATCATGCAACGAGGTGGTCCTTCGAGAGCTCAACACGGAAGTGCATTCCTTTCGAATACAAGGGAATGCGAGGAAACGCTAATAATTTTGTGACGAGAGAAAATTGTGAGCAACGATGCCCAGGTTTGAGCATGTTCTTATCAAGTCAATCGTCTCGATTAATCAGTACTTTTCTCTCATTTATAACCGCCTTCAAACGGTTTACCGCCTCATTGCTGTTAAGAGGTGTTCCTGGATGTTGGATTGCTATGAACAGCAGAGAGATTCATCTTCCAACAAGGTCTCCCAAACTGAGAAAGGGCATAGCGTTTCCATCAGGAAACCCAGCTAACAGCAAACCATTACTAGGATCCAACACCGTCTTGGTATCAAACTAGTCTTATGGTGGCCAAATCTCCCTCTGATCCACAAGTGCTGCGACTGCCTGTGGTGATGAAGACCCGGGGCAGACTTTGGCCTAGCTGACCTCGCGACCCCAGGGAACCACAATGGCTGAGCCAGCAAAACTTCCGAAACAACGGAAGTTATGCTGGAACAACCAGTGAAGACGAGCCATCCAAGTATCTATGTAAGTAAGTGTTTATACATAAAGGTAAACATAAAGAGGTGACTTTTGATGTTAGCAATAATAAAGCGTATCGTAGATCGTTCAACTTCAACTAGTTTGCAATTTGATATCCTCAGCGTCTTCCTTTTCTCTGAAGGAGTTATAGCCGTCATTGCTTATCTCTTTCGTAATAATGCTAAAGCTTTATTACCTTGCAGAGGGTGCCATTAAAAAGATCCGTTTAGTGTTCAAGAATCCTTGCAAGCTCTTTGAGCCGTTCTCAACGGAAAACAAGTACTACACATGCAGTCCAACAGCGTTGTGCCCTAATCAGTACTACTGTCATGTGGGAGTCGATACCAACTATTGTTGCCCGGTGATGGGTGAGCTCAACTCCCGGTTACTCCAATGTTTTTCGTTACATGTTCTTTCTCAATTTAGGTTTGTTTTGAAGTTCTTCGACGGTAAGTGAGTGTGCTGCTTGTCGGACTTCATTGTTTGGCTAGTCCTTACCACTTACTGCTTAATTTTTCTTCTATCAGAGTATTAGGCAAGCAATGATCTTCATGAATAACTGTTTTTAACACTAATTCTTCATCGCGATGTGAGACTGTGTACCAACAAAATTATCTATCCTTAGGGATATCAATGTAGATACTTTCTAAGATCATAGCAAAAACAGAAAGAAAAACTATAAAAAAAAGCAGTTGGTTGCCAGTGAAGTACTCAATATGATGGAAAAAATGTTACATTAAAAATCGGCTGAAAATGGACCGAACGTGGCTGGATTCAGGTGACGTAAAGAAGACGAAAAGGTCAAGCGATTGTGTTGAGGTTTCTGTAGAGATTTACAATGGTTAGAGATGAATTTAGAGTTTTGAGAGTTCTCCAGACAAATTTCCATATGCGGAATATTTTGTTGTAGTAGCTTTTTAGCTGGCTTTCTGCATTTTTTGAGGTGTTGTTTCTTTCTGATTTCTAGGAAGTGATCCGTGTAGTCAGCCAATGGATGTTGGCATCGGCTCGGCACAACTTCAGCGATGGTACTGGAATGCCCAATCACAGATGTGCTTACCATTCAGGTATAGAAAAAAGAACGAAAATATTTCGCTTATATTTAATTCTAAAGACCTGTAAACTAAAAAAAGTACTTGAGATTAAATAAGAGTTTCGAAGTAAGTTCAACTCATTTTATGCGTTTTTCTTCCTTTTAGTGGGTGGTGTGGGGTTTCATCTGAAAGATAAGAAAAAATTATGTTTACACTTTAGTGATAGAACCAATAGTTTAAAAAAATGCAGAGAAAGATTTAAACTGAACAAACTGAGCATTTTATAGCTACTGCGGTTTGAAAGGCACGCAGAACAACTTTCTTAGCAAGCAGGATTGCGAACGCACTTGCTACGGTATGAGTAATACAGCACTTTTCATTCTAGATAATCTTTTAGATTTTCTATTTTATGTATGAACGTAGCATTCACAAACACTTTCAAAAAATAGCTGTTGACAGCAATTTTTTAGTAAAACAACTTGTAGACAATTTAGTAGCATTATTAACTCTACTTCTACCAACGGTTTACCGCCTCATCGTGGGTGAGAGGTGTTCCTGTCTGTCGGACTGCGGTGTTCGGGGGATTCGTCACCTCGGAATGATCTCTCAAGCTGAGAAGGAGTCCAGCGTTTTCATCAGGGCGCCTAGCTAAAAGTGAACTAGTACCAAGATCCACCACCGCCTTGGGTATCAAACTAGTCGCATGGTGGGGAGCCTCCCTCTGATCCACAAGGGCGGTGACTACCTGTGATCGGGACGATCTGGGACAGACTTTGGCCAGGCCGACCTCGGGATTCTAGGAAACCATAATGTCTAAATCACTAAAATTTCGATAAATGGAGAATGTGCTGGGGTCTGCACAACCAGTGAGGACTGGCCGTCTAAGTATCCGAGTAATTAGGTTGTAACTCTACTTAGAAATTCATCCACTGACGGTCTCTCTTCTTTGATATTTCTGTTCTCATTTTCCAGAATCTGATTTTATAACACGAGGAGCGATTATACGAAGTAGTTTTTTTTTACGTTTTGAGGAGAGTACGAATATACTTGTTGAGCAGAAACTGTATTCAATCAACGCGAAACAGAAAAGCTCTGATGTCTGCTTTGATTTAGCTCTAGCGTTGTATTTTTTTCAGTACTTGATAATCCGTGTGCACTCGGTTTACCTCAAATGACCGTGGAAAATCGTCCACAAATATGTTCCATAGGCCAAAACACTTGCTCCGCTGGTTACTGGTGTCACTACGGTGCTACACAAAAGACAACTGTTTGTTGCCCTGGAAGAGGTGAGTGCGCTGTTACGCCAGTTCCCAAGACTAGTGGAGATACACAAAATGTTTCCCATTCTAGTCCCATGAGTGTTTTTTGATACGTGTATGGCTTCAGGCTTGTAATTTTAGTCACGCGCAATATTACATCACAACTCAAATCAAATCTGGTTTTCGACTGAAACACGTCCGCTTTTCATCAAACCACTGCTCACTCAGATATCACTAGAATCTCAATGCTTCTATTAGTTATTACTAAATGGATAAGCACAATCTTTTTGTGGTTAAAGCTCTTAAACACTTTTGGCTTTTGTTTACCTGAATTGTTTTAGTGGAAGGTCTAGCGATATGCCAGCAGTCGTTAGCGTTGGGAAATGGTGACGCGACACTGGCGCGTTGGTACTACGATGCGGCCAGCATGCGTTGTGTTCAGTTCTACTATCGAGGGCATTACGGCAATCAGAATAACTTCTTAACTCTCGAGGAATGCGAAAGGACATGCCCTGGTGAATTCTCATATTTCTAGGACCACTCGCATTTTACTAATACACTACGAGGGCTTTAACAATTAACGAAGTTCAAGGCAAATTCTTGGTCACGCTAGCAGAACTCGTATAGATATGCGTTTCTAATAGTTCACTCACAGTCTGGTTTATGTAAGCATGTGCACAGTGGTGCAACCACTGGTTGACTGGACGAAACATGTAGGTTTGGTTCCAATTCATTTAGACCAGGTATCGGTACCATTTGGGTTTATTTACCGAAAAGTGCCAGTGGTGTCTCGAACTGTTGACGATTCCTACAGCTTCTCAAGGACTTCAAAACGTGATTTGAAAACCAGGAGCACCAAGACCTCCAGCGCCAGATGCTGCAGTGATAACAAAGAGATGACATACAAGCAGTTCATCTACAACTGACGCAAAGGAAAGCAAAAGAATTTCCTCACACTAGAAAACGCATGGTTTGTAATGGTGAATCCAAACGATGTCAGTACTGTTTGTCTGCTCCCTGAACTTTTATACTATTATTTGGGATTCTTCTCAATTCTTCTGCTGTGGCGACGTCGACAAACGGTTTTACGCTCGTTGAAATTTTTCACTTTTTGTGATAAACAATGCCAATGATGCTGAGATATGAGAAAAACTCGAAACCTTAGGCGCGCTTCGAACGATTACTCTAATGGGAGGCTCACATTCTATCGACCACACCAACAGTGACCATTCTTTTGCCTTTATCTCAGCCACCTCTTTAACCCTATGGATGCTCTTAGCAATCATCTTTCGATGGAAGCATTCTGGAGAACACAAATCAGCATTGAACTCAGTTGAGCTGAAATTACAGTTGAAACCACTATGTCTTGGTATCGTGATTTCATTGAGACATTGTGATTTCTCCTTTTTCTTCTAAAACGGTTCTTCAAAGTTTTTCGCTCATTTTATAATTTCTGTTGGAGTGCTGTTCGATGTTTAAAGAAGCAAACAAATTGTATTTTTTCCTAAATCAATACACTAACGGCCTGGTCCCAAATTCTGATTATTTGATAATTCTTCGAAAGCAACAGAACACCATGAAATGTGGTATTTTGAAAACATGGTTAAATTCCACTTCTTGCCAGTTTCCGCCAACATTGTGTGCAGCCGGATTTTCACCACAGATCACTTCTTTTTCTGAATTCAGTTGATCAGTTTTCACTTCATATCTAAGCAAATTGTGACAGCTTTTAGCCATAGTAAAATTTTCTTTTTATTATTAAAGGAAAATAAGAATTCGGTAATAAATCACTTAGGGTCACGCGATCGACTCCATTCATTTTGCCAAGATCGATGTACAAATCAGCGTTTTTTATTTTTCTAGGGAAATCTGCTACCGACTTTCCGGCCTTGGATGGAGAAAGGACTATGCACTTTGTGAGAGATAAAAATGCATCATCTGGCACTTTTAACCCCTGCGCTACATACGTTCTTCTTTTCTACACTTTTAAAAATTTTAGCTGTAAGATAATGGAGCGGATGGAGCAATCGTAGTAATGCTCTTAATCACAAACATGGTGCTGATTCGACTCCACCTTAAACTCACGAAGCGTCCTATCTATCCAAGTATAGGGAATTGGTACCGGACTTGTCTGCTATCAACTATCTCCCTCAAATCCACTTGGGAATGTTCGCCACGGCGATCCCCAGATAGGATTCCATGAGGGATCGATTCAGCTCGAGTTCAACAACATTTGTAACGGAAATAAAATTCCTCAAACAGCAGCCGAACCCACACACAAAGTTCATAGACATTCGTCAGTGATGGAAGCGAGTAAACCAATCGAACGCAAACAGTGCTGGTATGCCCATGTAGTAGATGTGAAGACGAGTCATTTAAGAATTATAAAACAAATCTCTTGGCATATTTGAGGATTAGCATCCTATCAATGGAATCTGCGTGGTTTCCAATTTTTGTTGTTTTTCGGCTTCAATAATAGTTCCAACTGTCACCTTCAGTCGTTGTAGTATGATCAAACAAATCAGTTATACTATTTTATAAAAAGGATTCCAGTCTTTGTCAACCCGTGCAATCAACCGATCATACTTCCACCGAGAACATGTAGTGCTGTCGGTCCTGACACCTGCGGTCCGAGTTCGTGGTGTCATGTGGGAGCGACTCCAGACACGACGATCTGCTGTCCTAGTGGTAAGCGCTTTCCTCTTTTTCTAAATTGAGTACGTCTTTCTAACAATGCTTTTTTCTCACTAATGCTTCTCTGATATTTTTCTGCTTACGCCTAGAGTCTATAAAGCATCTGTGAAAGGAATTCTATCCTGTATACCTTTTTTGTGGTCTATATGAATATTGTCTTTGTGAAGGACCGAAGGAGTGTCTGAGTTAACTTTTTGACGTTGATTGTGTCATGATTCTTGACTGGTTCAATCTCCTTCCATAATGGAAAGGAATTTATGCTGTTCAGATAACTTTTTAATCAAAAATGAGACAACTCGGAAGACCGAGTTCAACATACACTCGGCACAAATAATCAATAATGTCTTGCAACCTGTAGTTTGTTGCTCCTATGTGGTTCATAGTGTGTAATCCACACACGAGTAGCTTGTTCCATTTGGGGCGGCTCCCAAGAAAGTAAAAATTCCCGAAACGCTAGGCATCGTGTTTGATGAAGAAAAGTTAAAAACCTCACCCTAGCTTAAACAATGACGGTTGGTAAAAACCAGATAACTTAATCGGATAAACAGTTAATTAGTGCTCGACAGTTTAAGCATGTGCTTTTTTGTGGTATGTCGTTGAGTTCCTCGGTCATCACCGTAGTCAATTACCGTGCTTCTTGGATTGTCTCGGAATTTTGTGTCGTGCAGCTAGCCTCTTGGTAACTTCATAGCCTTTTTCTTGTCCAGGCGCCTGATCGAAAATGGCAAGTTCCTCTTCAGAACGAGACCACAAAGAGGTTGAGACCCCAGCTGTGTATCGTAATCTGCCATGGGGAGACGGGAAACTCTCTGAGTTCATCGCAGATGTTTAAACCTGAGAAGCATCTGCAAAATTTCCAAATGCCGTCCAGCTCTCTATTAGGGTCCTATAATCTCGCCTGTGTCACCTTTATCACATGTCATCTCACTGATCGTCGACTAACTCGAGCAGTCGGCAATAATTCTTCCATATCCTTTTTTGCAAACCAGAGTAGCCCCTTGTGTTCTGCTCGCTTTCGAGATTCGTTGAGCGTTATATCATTCTTTGAAGGTCTTTGTAAAGAACTCTGACTATCGAATGGGGGGCCTTCCCGCTCTGCCCTTGACATCCCAAGGAATCCAGTCGCTAACGGTCACGTGTCAAGCCCACTTTTTTTCGACAGTTTGACATATAGCATGGCGTCTTTGGTCTCTAATTTCTAATGTCTCTCAGAACCTTTGATTCCTTCCTTCACTTGCGTGCTAGGAAATACCCCTAGCATCGTTCTTTTGCGTACTGAATCCTTTTCAAAATTCTACTAGCTCACGTGCTCTTCTTCGTCCAAGAGTTCTGTCAACACTGTTTAGGATAACTCGAGAGTGAAGTTTATGCACGACAGAGATCAAGCGTCCTAGACGATAAATTTCGATATCGTGGGGTCACCCTCCTTCAACTATAACACAATGTTGCTGGTCTTCCATCAAAGGGGAACCTTGTGTTCTGACAAATAACGTGTGAAGATTGACCGGGACCAGGCCAGTGCGTTGATGAGATTTGAGGGAAGGTTCTTCAGGTGTTCTTATCTTATCTCAACCGGACCAGGTGTTGTCCGATTCTTATCCGACCGAATAGCAGGTTGGTTTTCAGAAAGCAGAACGGCTAGGACGAAATATCCATTCTCCTTTATTTCATATGAAGGCAGGCGGTATACTTTCAAAAACACACCAATAAATTGAATGAATCGCAATTTATTGTGGTTTTAGGGTAACCTTTTCTGAACTTTTAGCCTTTTTTCCATTCTTCGAAAAATTAATTCTTGCACGAAGGACAACTCAAGAAACACAACGCTGCCGTAAAGTGGTTTATTCGAGGGTGAAGGGTGTTAGGTCTACTTATTTTTACCGTGTTTAGCTTTTGACCCCCACATATAGCTTGCTGAGCTCTGGACGCGGGTGCTGAGTGTACTAAGGGGTAGCTTACCAATCTCTCTCAGAGTGGACGAAAAGCTTATTCGCTGGAGACGACTCCTAATCGCCTCCCATACACTTTACCGTTACTCGATTACAGGTTTTTGACCGAATTGATTTGTAGACCAATCTGCATAGACGAGAATATACCCATACACGCATGCATGAATATGTCCTTGTAAACACAGAAGGTATGTACCAAGTCGGTGCGACAGGAAGAAGGAGTCCATCACCTAGATCCACCTGCCCCTCAGAGAAGTATAAGGTCGCTCTCAATTTGTGATTAACCCCCTGTCCATCACCTGGGGACGCACCACATTGCCTGACGAACTACCGGCGTAGGATAACTCTATGGAGGAGATTCTTCCTGTACAAGTGAAAACCATCATTAGATGGGCATCACTTACGTGCAGTATTTTTCAGATGTATCGTGCGTTATTTCAAGAAGAAATTGTGTTTTAATGCTAAATGAACCTAACATGACCTTTATTTGCACAGAGGGTGATCCGTGTACGTTACCGCTGAATCGTGGAACCGGTAACCAGTATGTGGATCGGTGGTATTTCAATCAACAAGCTGGTACATGCCAACCATTCTTGTATGCCGGGCTTCATGGGAATCAAAACAATTTTTTGACAAAAGAGGTACGCATTTACAGAATGATGACTCACCAAGTTTTCATGACTTTCAGTAATTTTCTTGCACTCATTTTCATTAGCGCATTGGCACCTTAACGCAAATGATTTTCATGTGTTTTACTCATTATTCTCTGCATTCTACAAATTTTATGGCAGGTTACTTAGCGAAATACAACCACGAGATTGCTGAGATACTTGCAAAACTCCGGACCGCAGACATCTGAGTGCCGGAGTTTTGCAAATATCTCAGCAATCTCGTGATTTTCATGTGTTTCATTTGAACACTTCGTTTCTCTTTAGTATTATCTATGTGAGCACCTTTCATCGTCTTAGTTCATTGCTTGGAAATGCCGGGTCAGATGAAAGGCTATTGTGCTCTTATGAATTGTTCTAGTTAAACTAAGACAAGGTTGTCAACACGTTTTAGTGGAAAGTAGGTGACCGTTCGGATCACACTGCCCTCGTAAGCGCAGTTCTTCTATTGTCCGCTGTTGTAGGCACTTTTAATGGCACTGTCGGTAACGTATAACTATAATGATGCTGAGATATTTGGACAGCTCCACCTACTAATAGGACCTATAAGTCAGTAAAACGAATCAGAAAAAGGCGAAACGTAGGGCTCACATGGTATAGTGGTGAACGCGTTAGCCCCCAGAAAGGGTAATAGCGCGTTAGTTCCCCACCAAACACCAGCTGCCTGGATTTTTGCAAATATCTCAGCATCATTATTGTTATATTTCACATAGTCTGTTAAGAAAATAATAGGCAGTAGATAAAAAGTACTATATCCATAAAGTATTCACATTTAATGGTTTTGAGAAATAACAAATTAAGGAGTCAAAATCTATATATAGGAAATTTCCCGGATATATTCAGTTAACAATCATTCTTACTCTTGTTCGCTTCACCAATACGAACCTGGTTTTTGCTCAAACGTCTATTCTAAAATAAATTTCAATCCTGTAGACCCACCTAAAAACTATGAGGATACTGTTACACTAAGTCGTGCACTAGTCAACAAGCAATTTCGAAGGAATTCTTTAAGACATCCAAACCTTATGATTCGTAAGAGAAATGACTCAGTTCGTGTTTTTTGCAGTGAGATAAACCACTTGCTAGTCAATTTTTTCCTCACTAATGAGTTTGTGGTCAATTTTTTCTCATAAGGGCAACAGGTTTGATGGAACAATGTGGACTATTAATTAAGGCTTGCGAAGAACGCTGTGGTCCGAATCCTTGCTTCGAGGGCCGGCCATTCGTCGGTGTTGACGGTCGCCCTCAGACGTGTTCCATTTCGGCAAATCTCAACACATGTCCAGCAAATTATTGGTGTCACATAGGAGCTGATATGAGCACCACTGTATGTTGCCCAGGAGGTGAGTTTATTTTCCAGGCCTGATGTTTGAAGCAAAACTGTAGTTTCTTATTTTTTGCATTCCAAAGTTTCTTAGATACTAAAGTTTTTCATTTTACATTATCAATCATGAGACCTTAGATTATAAAAGAAACTTTGCAATGCCCACATTGCACTTTACCTGTTGTTCTTACCGTTGGCGAATTTCGTCAAAATGTTCGTTTTAAACATCTCATTATTTGAATTAAAGCGTTGAAATTCATGAGGGTTAGAAATGATCCGCTGCCGACTGATACGCCCGTCCTTCATATCTGCTATGCAAATCTCAACAGTTCTTGCCTTCAATTCGCTTCCTCGCCTCCATCATTCACCAGGGTCTTTTAACTTTTATTCGTATGGGTTTGGTTGCTGCTAGAGTTCTTGCTCTTTCGTCATGAACGTCGTTTAGTACTGCTCGAGTTGATTCCGCCTGGAGTGCTGACAGCCGGTCTCGAGCGTTGCCACTCGAAATGTGGAAAGCGAACTTTCCACAGGCAGGTCTGGTTCAAAATTCCCTGCCCTGGAGAGATAAGAGACTTAGTACGCTCTCGGTTGGGTCGAACCAGCACCATGCTCGTGATGATCGACTGCCAGTGTGCTACTCTCCCATTAACTAACTGGAGTATACCTGCTCAAAGAGGTTCTACAATGTGCTAATGAACCGGGCAAAACTATGAAACAACTGTGGAACAGGTAATTTGAGTTGAAAAGCCGGAGGAAATGCTCGGTAATTTGGTGTCTTATTTGTGAACAGAGAACTGAAATATCTACTTCCTTACAAATATAACACATGCAACACAACAGTAGCTAACATTTCGTCAGTATCGCCTTTTTCAGAGCCTGGAAGGGTACACTAATATGTAATTCACTGGGTGAAACGCTTCAACAGCACAAACAGAAAGATGAAAATCTGAACAATAATTACATCACCGGCTTCTCGAAAAACCCACCATTTTCATCTGTTTTCCACCAAGGAAGAACACCCGCTTAGAGTCGTACATGGTTGGTTACTGCACCACCCCACATCAAAAATCAGTTCTGAGATACGGGGCTAGATCACGCGTTATCTCAGGGCATTCTTTCTTGCTATTCATTCTCGGATTTCTGGAATTTATCCAAAAAGGCTCGAGAAATTTGCGCGTTGGTGTTTTAGTCTCCCGTGCGACGATGGTGACTTTTACATCAAAATCTTCTCCTGTCGATCTTGGGAACTGTTAAAAGAAGTACGAGCAAGACATTTTCGACTTGCGAAGGAAGCCCTGTCACTAAGACAAAAGATCGTCTTAGGTAGACAACAGGTCCACTTTCTCCGCCGCTGCATTCAACATCAAGTCGTGCCGAAGTTCATAAAACGGAAACGACTTCACGAGATATGCAGTAAACCAGAGGAGACAGCCAATAAGTACGAGGCATCGAAATGGAACTACTTCGGGCCGCACTACGAAGCAAACGGAACGAGAAGTTCGCAAGAAGGATGAAATGTGTGACGAAGGAACATCTTTGTCCTTTGCATTTGGAGGGTCATCTTTGGAGGAGAATACTGGGTGGGTCAATACTGGTATGCAATTCTATTAGGTCTAGTTCTAAAATGACATTACAGCGAAAGTTTGAGAATCTATTGACTAATTCGTGTGTCTCGGCTTCAAGAAATCACAGACAAACGAACTTTGCTAGGAGTCAAAGTACGGTTGATAATGCACCAAGAAAATCTAGGGTCACCGTGATTGGGGGCATGACAATATATGAGAGTACGCGTTCGCTATTAGAATCGGGCCCAAGTTTTGCACCATCACAGCCCATTTCTAAAACTACCCTGCGTAGGGTAGCATGCAACCTTTATGAGTTTCAAGATGACTCCGCTATAAGGCCAAACAAGAAACATCAAATAGAGGTGAAAGCCAAGAGGCGGCGACATTACCACCATTTCCGTTCGATAGAACGTTTTTTAGACACCAGGACCCTAACAATGGAGTTTACATGAAATTCCGGTATGTTTTCGGACGGCGTTCTCAAGACCCTTAATCATTACCGCGATTGAAGATTCATCTCTAACCTTACATCCACACAAAAATGTAGCTTGAGAAAAATTAGAGAATTAATATGTCTGATAGTGATAAAGGAGGAGAGTTCGTAGTTATTCCTTACCAGCTGGATACTGAGATAACAGAGGAACATCTTAGTGATGCTTCCCTCTATCGCCTATCCTCTGAAAAGGAATATAAAAGTCAATACCGAAAGCTAAACAATCAATGGGTCAGCGTGGTAAAGGCTGCGGGTTTAAAATCATCGGTTATTTCGCATTTTAAAATCGATAGACCAACATGTCCCGTCCTATGCCTATTTATTAAAGCACATAAGTTGGTATCACCTGATGATCATGCGTCAACCAATCCGTTATCATTTGAAGTTAGACCGATCATCAGCTGTGTAGACGGGCCAACGGATAGAATAACCTGGTTTTTAAGCCTGATACTTACCCAGTTGCTTAACCACATTCCAGCTCACCTCACCAACCCAAGTGTTCCTAGCACGTCTACGTAACGCGTCTCCTAATAACGCGTACGTGAGTCTTTCGACGTTACAGCGCTGTACACCAACGTGTCGAATGACTCCGCAATGCAAGCCATCTTCGAACTTCTTGTTGAACATGAAGGAAGAATAAATATGCATGGCTTGTCCATCCAGCAGCTCACGGCTCTCTTAAACGAGTGCCTAAAATGCTCGATTTTCTGACAGTCTGAGAAATATTTCGCGCAAATAAGGGGGTTGGCACTGGGATAGCGACTAGCACCAAGCCTTGCCATTGTGTTCATGTCTAAGATAGAAGCCCCTATTCTCGATCTCCGGCCACTACTCTATTGCAGATATGTAGGTGATTGTTTTCTCATCCTCTCTACGTAGGATGAGATGGACAAGTGCTTTAAATTACTGAACTAGCTGTCTGAGTACATAAAGCTTACCCGGGATAAACAAAACAAAAACTGGCTTTCGTTTTTGGACGTTCAAATAAACCTATCAAGTAGCGGTTACATAACAAAGTGGTACCGAAAACCAAGCAACAAAAACATCCTAGTTCATTTCCTTTCTTCCCACCTTTCACACACAAGAGGGCACTTGTGAGAGAGATGCTTCGAATAGTGACCTGTGTGTGCACAACCAGGGAACTAAAGGAAGAACTGCGTGATTTGGCTCGGCAAATAGCCATCCCCAATGGCTACGAAGTAGTTACCCTACGAGATAAGTTCAGAAGGGGAGCGACGCGCCCACGCAAAATACATGGCCAAAAGAAAGTCCCATTTATCTTGCCCCGCATTAGCGATTAAATAAGTGTAGCGATAAAGCGTGCTTAAAAAGCGCAGATCTAGAGGAATCGGTAGCGATAGTTGAAATACCACCGGATACTCTACGTCGTCAGTTAGTTCCTAACCACCTGTATGGCCGTCTATGCGAAACAACAAATTGCGTAATTTGTCATTACGGCAGGGACTGTGATTGCATGCGTTCAGGTACGATATACCTGATCTCTTGTAACAATTGCGGAGATGAATGTATTGGCGAAACGGGCAGACTTCTATGTATCCGCATAAAAGAACACCTAGATGGCAAACGAAAATCAAAACAAAGCACGCCACTAGGGGCACGCATAGGATACAAAAACATAGAGGAGAAGATTTTGATGTAAAAGTCACTATCGTCGCACGGGAGACTAAAACACCAACGCGCAAATTTCTCGAGCCTTTTTGGATAAATTCCAGAAATCCGAGAATGAATAGCAAGAAAGAATGCCCTGAGATAACGCGTGATCTAGCCCCGTATCTCAGAACTGATTTTTGATGTGGGGTGGTGCAGTAACCAACCATGTACGACTCTAAGCGGGTGTTCTTCCTTGGTGGAAAACAGATGAAAATGGTGGGTTTTTCGAGAAGCCGGTGATGTAATTATTGTTCAGATTTTCATCTTTCTGTTTGTGCTGCTGAAGCGTTTCACCCAGTGAATTACATATTAGTGTACCCTTCCAGGCTCTGAAAAAGGCGATACTGACGAAATGTCAGCTACCGTTGTGTTGTGTGTTATATTTGTAAGGAAGTGAAGATGTACTGAATAACAACCTGGCGATTGCTGTAAATAAAGAGGACAACAGATTTATAATCCAATGCCGAGGTTAGTAGAAAGCCGATCTAGGGAACTGTTAAAAGAAATATCTACGTTTTATCCCTTTTGCTTAATGAAAAAACCATCTACTACGATTTTTTGTTCGCGCCGAAATCGTTCGAAGATGCATTGGTGACAACTTCAAAAAACATTCGAACTGTAGGGCCTGCAACCGATATGACAGTCGACTGAACAAAAAAAGCCCGATTAATGCAATGCAAAAGTGCTGTAAAAGTCAATGGAATGAATATAGTTAAGAAACTCGAAAGACCGACTTTCTATAAACCTCGGCATAGATAGTTGATATATTTATTTATGTGATCTTATAAACTGATCTTCTTAAGCTGACGCGAGGTTGGTACAGATCTTCGTTGTCGTTGTCGTTGTCGTTGTTTTTGATGTTATTGAACGATGGCTGACGTTTCGGCGACTTCGCCTTCCTCAGAGCCTGGACGTATTTTATGTTAGAATACTTTTTATTATTCGGTGGAAGAGAAGGTTAAAGTATTAATGAAGATCAAACTTTCAAATAGACGCCATATTGAACAGAAAGGCCACTCACCGTGATGTTACGTGCGGGACTGGCCCACACGTAGTTCACGCGAGCAAGACACGCCCCGGGGTTAAAATATCATTTTGAAATAGGGAGCCAGGTCACACGTGATAGTTAGGCATTCGTCCTTCCAGTTCATCTTTGGATTTTTGAAATTTCTCCAAAACGCCTCAAGAGTTTTGCGCGTTGATGTTTTTGATTCCTGCGCTAGGATCCGCACATTCACTTCAAAATCATCGTCGTTGTGCTTTTGTGCCCTATGCGTACCTAGAGGGGTGTTTAAACGAATTTTAGCTTTCCCATCTAGATGTTCTTTTATGGGGACACAAAGTGGTCTACCCGTTTCCCCAATATATTCCTCGCCGCATG